AAACTTGTTGCATTTATCTATGCCTATAACTTTTCATTTTCATTCACATTTTCGAAATACGACTCAAATTTTTTTGTAATTTTAGGCGACCATACCAACAGGTATAGTCGGCACAAAAATACTGTGGCACCCGAGAATCTGGCCATTAGTTTTTGGTTGGGGTGGTGGGTTGGTAAGGAGGTATGGGAGGGGGTTAAAAATTTTAAAAACCCCAAAATAACAATTAAACTCCAAAATTACAGTAGCTAGCGAAACGCGGTTTTCAATTTAAGATTAGGAATAATATTTGCAACAAAATTTGTAATAACATAAAAATCAGTCAAAGTCGCAGTTTTTGAGATTCCTTTACTTTGAAACTAAAAGGACTGCCTACCAACTTTTTATTAACATATTTTAGTATATACGTGCCTCCCGGCGTCATTTTTTTTTATTTTATTTGCCTTGTTATATGGTTTCTAAAAATATAAAGGCGCATTCTCACTACTCGTCTACTTGACAAATATTTGTTACTAGTTGAATCCTGGCGCATCCGCCACGACATCAGGAAGAAAAATACTTTTTACTTTTTTTTTAATTAAATGAAAAACAAAAAATTCGGCGACGACAGTTTTTAGAAGAGCCAATTAGATATCTTTTAGTAAAAAAAACAACTTTCTAGAGCAAGTCGTTACTTCAGTAGAGACGACAGATAGACATTAGCATTTTATATTTATGTAGATTGGTATACAGGGTATACACGGTACATCGAGCATCTATACAGAATTTCTAAGTTATTTATTATAGGAGCTACGTCTCACTCCCGCCAGACCCTGTAAGCCAATAAAAAATACTTGCCAAGTACACGAGAGTCGTGAGAACGCGCTATAATATGCTCTATTCTCATTTCATAACTAAGGTAAAAAAATGCATTATTTAACTTTTTAACGGAAATCAACGTAGTTTAAAAGAATATTATTTTATTTTATTTAATTTAACCAGTTTTTCATGTTGTTATCTGATTAAACTGCACTGAAAATAAATTTGTGCAGCATTAAGATAATTATTAATAATAATTATACAATAATTCTACGCAGAAACTAGCGTGGAATAGCCATAAACGAAATTTGAAGTCGACGAATTTTTCACCTTGTTTATGAGAATAAGCGTAGAGTATATTATATTTTTAGAAAGATCATAACAAAGACAAATAAAAACAAATAATATACAGGGTATCCCATTAAAAAAACATAATTTTAAGTCTATTTCAAGAATGACAGCTCCCAGCGAAAATCTCCTTATGCCATTGAATTCTACGCGAAAAACTCTATGGGACTCAGTTTTCATCTTTTCGGTAAGTTATAAGCTTTGAATAAGAAGACTAAGGAAGGAGCATATCAAAAATCTTAAGACCACCGCGATGCGACTCAAATATGGCCGACTTAAATTCAGGTTTATCAGAGCCGTTCTAATTTTATTTAAAAAATGTAAAACTATGATATAGGGTAGACGTGGGGTAGACTCAATATTTTTTTTATTTTACGTTGTGAATAAATATTGGTAGTTATAAAATTGTTATAAAAACATATTATTATAATAAAAATAGATAAGTGTTAATAATTATTTATTAACACAACCATCCGATACGCTACTGAAGCAGGTAAGTCAAATTGACGTATCTAAATTCTTTGACATCTAATCTTTGACAAGTAGTAAATAAAAGCAAAAATACAATTAAAAATATATAATTAGTTAATTTAAGTGAATTTCATAAATGATCGGTTTACTACACGTATGTATATTATATAGTCACTTAATAGCGAAAAGTTGTTCCATTATTTCACTCGATTTTTGCCGAGATCTACCGCACGCTACACAACTATTTTAGAGTGTTTTTCGATAAATCGCGATAGTGTCACTGTTAATTTAAGTTCTGCCACAATTTCCATCTAGATTTACTACCTTTATACAACTATCAGTAGTAGAATAAATAATAAATAACATAAAATAAGCTCCGTAAAGACTGAGAAATCCACAAAATTTCAAATCAAATTCAAATGTGTCAAATGAATCGTCAAACAGAACTGTCAAGGATCCCCACCCTAGAGTCCTTTTTCCGCCCACCATGCATGAATACATGAATAGCATTATGCTCCTTCCTTAAGCGTAGTTTACACGGGCAAGTAAATTATCGCAAGTATATGTCTGAGAGCACTTCTACCAAACTTGCATAATGTAAACAGTATCCGAAAGCACTCTCCCAGCAAGTCACAAAACTGGCGGGGAAGTGGTTGCGACGAAAGACGCTTGCAAGTGTAAACAGGTTGGGAGAGTGCTCTGGCAAGTTAAAATTTATTTCCGTCTTGTTGAAAGTTTTTGGTGCAAGTGATTTTCGAAGGCGTGTTAAATAACGATATTAAAATGGAGAATGTGGTTGAAAGAACATACCATCACTTTGATTAATTTATAATATAGATAGAGATATATATTAAGGATTTCCGCAATTGTGGCAAAAAAATCGAAAATTTACAGAGATAAAGCTAAAAAGCAAAAAGTAATCAAATTTATAGCTGACAAATTCAACACAACTGAGGCTGAGATTCAGCGGAAGCTACATAATATTCTTACCAAAGCAAACCAGGAGCGGAACAATATTATAAAAAGAAAAAGTAAAATCGACTTCTGACATTCGCAGAAAATTGTTTAAATGCTTTGGGTCTTCATTTCTTATTTTTTTTAATAACATCGCGTGAGCTCCAAGACTAGGCCTTCTGGCAATCCATTCTTTAACCCATATATTCTTTTTCTAGATTTTCTTGACTGTTTGCGTAAAATTGCAAAAAGACGAGCAGTGGCTGCAGCTCTCTTTTTACGGCGCGACATTTTTCTTCTAAACAATATACTTGTGTAATATATACTATACCGTGTATACGTGCATGCAATTTCTTGCTCAAAACATATGCCTAGAAAGTACTTGTTGCAAGAAATTGCTTTAAAATTTGCTTAAATGTAAACACTATTGCAAGTTACTCTAGCAAGTTCTATCGCAATTTTCTATCCCGTGTAAACTACGCTTTAGTCTTCTTATTCAAAGGTTATAAGATATCTGAGATACGAAGGCAATATTTTCAAATTCGCGCTGTATTTCAGGAACTAACAAGGCTGGGACAAATATGTGTATTACATCTTTAGTTTAATAAAACCGTAGCAAATTAATGTGAAAATTGCTTCTTTAAGCGAGAAACCCTGTAAAACACACGAAAATGGGAACCTCTACTCTGAACGACCCAGTCGGCGGGTATGGATTGTCATGTCTGGACTGCGGGATCGAACGCTCAAAAATCCCTTGCGTGTATCCGGCTAATCTAATTTTATATAAAAAGGGCCTAATATTGTTTAAAAAGAAATCAATTCCTACATTTTTCCGCACTTATTCATTTAATGCCTGTATAGAAGAAACAACTGATAATCAAAAATTTATCAGCGGCTGTTAATTAAGGCGAGTATATACCAAGCGCTGGCAAAGGTTAGTCTTGGGTCGATATTTCCGTATATAAGAAGAGTACAATGCGTTCATAATGTACTGAACAAAGAGAGAACAGTAAACACATTGCTAAACGTATGAAATAAACAGAGAAACTGTACACATTGCTAAGAGACGTGGAAGGGGATATAGCAGATTTGTCGCAGTTGACCGGTCGACCCAATATCGGTCGATAACAAAAAATACCTCTGTCAGTGTCAGTACTTTTCAGTGTTCAGCTTCACGACTTAATTACGTCTCGTGATATTTTATTTGTTTATTTATTAACCAGTCGTTGTAATTTTCCCTATAGCTTAAAATTTTTTAAGTGCAAGTTAGAAACACTTGCATTTTTGGTAAAAATAAGTGGAATTGAGTTAGTGTTCGACAGTCGTTGCGCTATCTAATCGAAATCTATTACAAATAACTGATTGTAGTTTTTTTCAAAAACTTTCTTAATATTTCTGCTATATTTTCTTCGCAGACTGTATGTGAAAATCTTTATAAATAAAAAAAGTTACACGATTGCTGAAAATTGCTATGCACTAAAAGTAAATGGATGGGTTATTTAAAATGTTTGAGTATTTTTTGTCAAGTACCTTGTCGAATTTTTCTTATTTAATCATATTGTAAAAGATCCGATCTTCAAAATAAAAAAAAAGTTTCTAAAGTGGTTCTTAAGTTATGGCGTGTTATGTGTTAAAAGTTAAGTTTTTAAATTATCGCGATTACTGACGTTTTTTCGTTATAAAAATACACAACTACGATATCACACCCAACAATACCATAACGATATCCTTATAATTCCATTTCAGATGCTCAGAAACATATCTAATGATTTTATCTAATTATATTTAAAAAAAGTATTTTGAAAATAAGTGGTTTATGGTCGTGATTTTACTTTACTTGATAGGGAAAGGCATACCGGCAACGCCGCAACAGTACACCGTCGCATTTTTCTCACTCCGACTTAATAAGATCCCTATGCAATTTACTTTCACACATGTAAATACCGACCCAAAAGTAACAGTTGCCAGCACGGTATGCATCACTCACGCGTCATTCCGTCACTCCAATCACGTCGAAGTACGATCTGTCATATCTGAAATATACCAATAAAACTGGTTAAAAAAATGACGGACGACGCATGACTAATGCATGTATACTCACGCTTATGGAATACATATAAGATAATTTAATAAAATAAACGTTCTCATTTCAAATTATTCTACAATTTACGACAAATCGATGAAAATCCTATTAATATTAAAATTTAGAAATTACGCCTTATAAAGATGTAGACAAAAATACGTAACCATTATTAGAAAAAGTGGTACATATCTACAGCATTATTAATCATTAAATATATATTTTTTCCGATACATGTACAAATTTCTCGAGAATGTACAAAATTGAGTTAAGTAACAGCAGTTTTTGCTAATAGAGAGAATGAAATTCCTTAGTCAAATTTAATAATTACCAATTATAAAGAAACAAAATATAAAGAAACAAGGAACTATTATCAGCCCTTTAAATATTTAATAATTCAAGAATAAATATAAAACAAAACAGTACCCAAAATGGTATATATTTAATTTTACATTTGGCAGAAAAATATATATTATGTATAAGAATTTTATTTATACTTTTATGTATATTTATTGAAACATCTTTGAAAAATGTTGAAATTTTTAAATAAATTTGAATTTCAACATATTTATATGCAACTTTTTTATTCCACCAATAATAATTATGCAGTTATTACTCCTGTTCAGAATATAAATACGGTCAACACTTTCACTTTCTGATAGATTTTCACTTCAGTTGTCCATATTAGCTATGTACATTTCTTAATTATGTTTTTTTAAAAAGTTCTAACTCAACTGTTAAGCAAGAAAAATCTAAGAAGTACACATAAAAAGTACCAACGCAAAAAGTAATAAAAATCAGTAAAATATACTATGTTATTCAAGTTGGCTAGTGCTATGAGGCTGATTTTCTTTTGCTTTTGTTGTGGCCCACTCTACGAAATCATCTATTAATACAGGCCAGGCACCTTCTTCGTCATAGTTGCTCATATCATCTGCTATTTGTTGAGCAAAGTCTAGAAGCAAATTCCAAGTATCTTTTGGTATTGATCTTTTATGATTTTCCTAAAAAAAAACAACAATTTGAAGACAAAATATCAATAACTCAAGTCTCAGCTCACATAGGGCCCAACTTGACGTGCGAGTGTCGTAACTCGGGCCCTATGTGAGCTAGGGGTTTGAATATTTTATGATTTTCCTAAAAAAAAAACAACAATTTGAAGACAAAATATCAATAACTCAAGTCTCAGCTCACATAGGGCCCAACTTGACGTGCGAGTGTCGTAACTCGGGCCCTATGTGAGCCCGGGCCCTATGTGAGCTAGGGGTCTGAAACTCGGAATGTAGAGGGCTCAAAGAGCATCTCTTCATGATATACAGGGTGTCCCAGGCTGAGCGTGCATTAGAAGTTTCTAGAGAACAACAATATATCGGACATTTTTTGTGCATCACTGTTTCACAACGAGATCTATCGATTAAAAATATTTTCAATATGGCGGCCCTTCCGGAAATACCGGAAGTTGACAGCAATTTTCTTATTTTAAATGGGTACCCCCATTTTTTATTACATATTTAAATTTTCTGTAAAATTTTATGAATTTTGAAATCAAACACTCTATACCTAACATTAACCGTTTTTGAGAAAAAAATATTAAAAATTTTTGGAAGAAAAAAACTGAAAGTCAAAAAAATCTGTATAGCCTAAACGATAAATTTAGTGATTACCACAGCCACTGTGGCCTAAAGAGAAGACATGTGGCTGTTTCAATAATTAAATTGTTCCAATGTCACATAATATTAGCCGTAGCTGTCATGGAATTAGCGATTAGAACATTATCATAAATCATTTTTTTCAAAGGGAAAATCACTTTTTTTATTTCACTAGTGAAAAGGTCTTTTAATTCGCTACTTTTTGATTATAGATGTTCCTATACCTAAAATAAATCGTTTTTAAGTTATTTAAGATTTAGTTTTAAAGGGTATATTTTTTTGTTTTTTAACCAGTAGCTTATATGTCTACTAGCGTGTACCAGCGACTTCGTTCGCGTCGAATTAATCATTTGTAATGGTGATGATAAAGCAAAGCAAGAATTTCCATTAACATACAAACTGGATAAAATTTTCTCACATTTTTGTCAGCATGGGAAAAAACAATATGGCGTTATTATTATATAACTTGGTAATATTTGAGGGGTAGTTTCATCTCGTTGGAATTTGACTTTCAAAAAATCCGTTTGCCAGAAATAAGCTTTTTACGTCAAGCAGTTTAAGCAGAATCGTGGTTAAGAAATTACCCAACTTTTTGGAACACCCTGTATGATTTTTAAAAAAAAATCAAAATATGTAAAAAAACCAAATAAATTATGCTTGTCCAAGCGTTTTCTCGAAAGACTAACCGTTTTTTAAATAACAAATATTGTAATATTTGAGGGGCGTTTTCACCCTCTTGGAATTTGAGATTCGAGACACAGTCAATCCGTTTCTCAAAAATCAGCTTTAAATGTCAAGCAGTTTAAGCAGAATCGTGATTACTCAATGGTCATATTTTATGAAACACCCTGTATAAATTTATAAAAAATCTTAAAATATGTAAAACAACAAAATAAAATATACGTGTTTAAGAGTTTTTTCCGAAAAACTCACCGGTTTTTAAATAAAAAATATTTTAATATTTGAGGGATAGTTTCACCCCCTTAGAATTCCAGTTTCGAAAAATCCCTTCTTATCGAACCTCTACACCCTAAAGTCAATCTGTTTTCCAAAAATCAGCTTTTTACGTCAAGCGCTTTAAGCAGGAGCGTGATTAATCAATGACCAGATTTTTCGAAACACCCTGTATACATTTTTAAAAAATCTTAAAATATGTAAAAAAACAAAATAAAATATACCGGTTTAAGCGTTTTTTCGGAAACTTGACCGTTTTTTAAATAAAAAAATATTGTAATATTTGAGGTGTTGTTTCACCCCCTTAGAACTGGAATTTCGAAAAATCCCTTATTATCGAACCTCTACACCCTAGAATCAACCTGTATGCCAAAATTGAGCTTCTTACGTTGAGTGGTTTGAGCAGGATCGTGATTAATAAGTATGTCAGTCACTTAAGGATTTTATATATTAGTATGGATAAGACTTTAAATGTCACGCGATGTAAAACTATATTTGGCCATGTCATATGTCATACTGCTATTAGCTATCACTAAAATATGAGATATATTTTTATAAATACACTTTGTAAAGTTTTACCAGTAGTATTTATAATATACGAATATCAAATAAACAGTTTTTTGACAGAAGGAAGTAAATTTTCTGACTTAATGTCAATGGAAGCTAGATAAAATCAAGAAAAATACGCTTTAAAACTAAATCTTAAATAACTTAACGACTTATTTTAGGTACAGGAACATGTATAATCAAAAAGTTTTCATTAGCGAAACAAAAAAAGTAGGTTTCCATTTCAAAAAAATGATTTATGATAAAAGTCATCACGTCTTCTCTTTATGACAAGTGGCTGTGGTAATCACTAAATTTGTCGTTTAGGCTATACCGAATTTTTTGACAGGCAGTTTTTTTCGTCCAAAAATTTTAAATAATTTTTTTCCAAAAAACGGTTAATGTTAGGTATAGAGTTTTTGATATCAAAATTCATAAAATTTTACAGAGAATTTAAGTACGTAATAAAACAGAGGGGTACCCATTTAAAATAAGAAAGTTGGTGTCAACTTCCGGTATTTCCGGAAGTGCCGCCATATTAAAAAAAATAGTTGATAGATCTCGTTGTGAAACAGTAATGTGCAAAAAATCTCCGATCTTGATGTTGTAGTTCTCTAGAAAATTCTAATGCACGCTCAGCCTGGGACACCCTGTATTGACGACGTTTCATGCACTATGAAACCCCAATATCAATTAATCAAATTAAAAAATCGTCCGATTTAAATTAAATTTTGTATGTCAATAGATTGGACCACGGCCAAGTCGACCGTGTACGACACGTGTCACAAGTCGTCCGATCGCGACCAAATTTGGTGGATAGGTTATATGAGCGACGCAACGGTGCACACGTTCCCACCTTGCAAATTTGGATACGACCGATGATTGAAAAAATAAAAAAAGCCCAACCTTATGGGCGATTTCGTGGCACAAAAGCTGTCCGAGATGTAGCTGGCGTTGCTGATGTAGCTGGCGCAGCGGCAACCTGTCCGAGATTTGAGATTTAGTTTAGTTCTGCGCCGCACAGTGGGGCCGATTGCCATTTTTGCGGCCAGAACCTTATAAAACAGAAGTTGCTTTTTTAAAAAGTTTTGATGACCATAGAATACAGAAAAGACCGAAATATTATATAACGCACAGAAAAAAAAATTGGATGCAGATCTGTAACCAGTGAAGGGCAGTAATGTCGAAGGTTTAGTTCTACCGTGTATAATAAATGCAATTTGTAGGTAAAATTTCTTGGTTAATTTTTGAATACAATTAATTTTTTGCATTTTTTATAAAAGTACAATACTACTTGACTATTTCTAGCTATATTTTGAAAAAAAAAACTTTTCCACTGATGCATACTAAATTAATTAATAAATTAGTATAAAATAAAAAATAAAATATGCTATTTAACCTTGAGTTTTGTTGAGTGCCCAAAGTTGCCCAATTTATTGGCTGATGTTTTTTGAAAGATTGGACATTACCCTTCAAGTATTTGTTACCATCTTGCGCAACTTTGCGCAACTTTAAAAAAAAATATTTTTAAATGTAAGTATGTCCCTGGTACTTTGAGTAATAGATACTATAGGTCTTTATGATTTATTTAGATTAAGTTCGTGTGATTTTAATAAAATCTGATACTCATGAATCGCCTGTAATCAAGCACATTGTTAGGGGATCCAAGAGTCCTAGACCCTTCAGTCCCACCCCACCTCAAATCTACAAATTTTGTGGGTTTTAACTGAATTAAGGCTTAGATCGAGGCTTAGATAATATACAATGTCCCCACTCCTTTTTTATCTTTTTAATGGAACAACATGGAGATTTGAAGTAAGGCAATATGTTTAAAAATATTGCGTTTTAGTCTAAATATGACAGTTTAAAATTTCAAGATGGCGGCTTAACTTATTAAAATATCCGCACGTAAATTCAAACTATGATATGTACTAAAATAATGAACCGATTTTAAAAATTTAAGCATTTATACAAATTATTTTTAAACACATAACATTACGATAAATTTAAAATCTTTTAGTTGTTCCAATCCAAAAATAGAAGGAGAAAAAAAATCCGGCACCCAAAACCACCCTTCCCCCGAAATGGTTATTAAAATTTTTGGAACCCCCTCATCATCCGAAATTAATTTTTAGATGCTAGCCGATATAGATAGGCACTTGAAAAATCTAGCCCATACTTTCTTGATTACGTGCCGACTACTAATTTTGAGACATGTGAGACCACGATTGAAAATAATTATTTTTTTACTTTTAGTACTTCTTTACTTAACTTGAATCCAAAAACAATATTTACTTTTTTATCAAAGTTGTTGGTTACATACGGATAACAAAATATATCAAACAGACCGATAAACAGACAGACAGACACACAGACATGCCACAAGACAAAAATATTCGAAATGGCTTGCAAGGCAAAAGTGTAAAGTTTTGTCATCCGGGTATTTTTTCTCACATTATATTGATGAGCTAATATGCTGGGTATATACGTGAACTATAATTTAATTAACTAAAATTTTGAAGATTGACTACCTAGAAATTCAATTAAGTAAAAACTGTTAAATTCTATATATTTTTGGTTGATTCATATATCTTTGAAGGTTTTGGCCAACGATTCTTCAATCGGCCCCACCGTGCGCCGCTGCGAGCTGATAGTCGTTTACAGCGCAGCGGATAAAGAAAACTGTACCGTAGTTCTGCTTTTAGTCGACAGAGTGAGTGGTTGCCGGAGACAGTGTTGCCAAAACTACTGATTAATCCGTAGATTTACGGATTTTGGGTACAATATGTTAGTAAAACGGATTTTCTATCATTAAACAATTTAATATAATATTACATGATTAAACAAAGAACGGCGTCAGAGTTGACTAGAAAATGAAAAATACTATTATTTAATATATAAAATATTATCATATATGTCAATAATCGTCATTTCCAAGCCAACTAAACGAATTTTTTGCGATCATACGACATATTCAGTACCTATAAAAGAGTTTTTATTTTTGTTGTTTATTCTATGTTAAACACGAATAAATTTTCAATACATAAACGCGGATTTTTCATCCAAAGATATTTTCGTCAAACGTATAACAGATATTACACATTTTAATATTAACACTGTCGCTTTCAGATCCACACCGACTTCGATATGCTTTCGCTGACCGAATTAGAGAAAATAAGTGTTTTATGCTTTGACCGCAGAGCGGTTGTTGTCTCCACCGTACAGTACTTGAGACGTACGGAGAAATCAAATTAGCTTTGCCACAAATTTGCCCATTAGGTTGCGTATCTTCCCAATTCTTTCAATCAACGATACGACACGTTTCATTTACATCTTCATCAGGGTGGGACTAACGATTTGATACTGAAGAAAAATGTGGGTCGATATCAGCATAATTGGGGACGGGCTACAGGATGACGCCCTCGACGTTTCGAACCGATGCACACACGGTAAAATGCTATCAGCACATATTATACAGATTATAAACTTATCGTCAAAAGCATTGTTTTTCGTGGTTCCAATTTTCGGAGACGCGCACTAGTTAGGTTACTAGATTGCGCACAAGCACGCCCACTTATGGCCTCTAAAATTGCGCACAGCGCCTGACCGGCGTTGTGACCGGCCCTGTTATTACGCTGTTTAAACGGGAGTTTATTTTTGCGCACAAGATAATTTACTCGTTTGCTCATCGTCATAAAAAACAATTTTCGTACCACGAATTAGGGAAGATTTTTATCTGTATACTTATAGGATACCTAATCTGTGCTATTAGCTTGACAAAAATCGAAATTAGAAATATTTTTTTTCGTATGTTCATCCACTTACTGACGTTCTTATAAAATCTGTGGACCTAATTTTAAATGTTAAATTTCTTCCGAGCAACTATAACGGCGCAAGCGCTACCGAAAGTTGATGGCATCATCCACACTTTCTGGGGAGAGCGTTAGCCTAGCACAAAGGTGGAGCGCAAAAGAGAGTGTCATTTACACCCAGCACATCAGTTTAAAAATTAATTATCATTATAGGCAATATAGCTACAGACATGTAGTACAATTAAATAGCATCCATATAATAAATTTGAACTGTTTTGAATGTAAATAAAATATATTTGAAACACGCTATTTCAGGTTTATTTTTTTATAATTTCGTAATTTTTTAACATATCTTAAGAACTGTTATTCTGATTTAAGCTGGCTTAAAAAAATGTTTCTTGTCACATCAAGCTATGCAGGCACATAAAATCTAGTATGTGCTAATTGGTGCTAATAATCTAGTTGGCGAAAATATGGAATGTTATGTTACAGTACATCTGCTGGATCTGTGTCTATGAAAGGAATGCAAACAAAAAAATTTAAATAAACAGCAATATATTTTATACGTCGATTTAACGAGTGCGTCACCGCAAATCGCTCCGCCCACTCATTTTATTGGCTACTTGCAAATTTGTTGAATTTTTATTGATGGGACGCGTCGTCTATTTTTTACGAAAAACATCGAGAGAATATCGTTTCCCCTATCACGGATACCCCGCTACAGAAGCTACAGAACGGACAGACGTACTGTACTATCACAAATTATATTTTTGACAATATGCTTCAAAAATTTTAAATTAATGAATATTCAGCTTTATTTTCGATTGATGCCCTCTAACAGACAAATAAAGCACTTCTGTCTAGAGGTAGGTAAATTGTGTGCCATTAACATCTTTTGATTTAAAAAATATGTAGTTGTTCAGGAAATATTGAAACTCCTTGTATATTTATTACATCTGCTTTGAAAAAAGTCTTATTTTTTTCTCAAAAAATATGCAATCTAGCGTTTTTTTACAAGGGACAAAAAATGTAGTAAATACTAGAACCATTTTACAAAAAAAAACGTCCTTGGTGGAACTGGAAAATATATCTACTAAAATTTTTTATGAAGTGGTGAGGGTAGTTTTCACCCTTCCCGTATTTTTCCTTGATTTTTGTGTCTGTTTTAAGTCAAATGTTAAAGCGCTTAGCAAAACATAGGCACCTCAAATCTCATTCAAATCAGAATAATGGTTCTTAAAATATCTTAAAAAATATGTTTATTTTTTTAAAGTTTGATGCCCCCTAACAGACAAATGATGCACTTTTGTATAGAGGTAAATTCTGTCCAATGTACTTATTTTGATTCTAAATATACATAGTAGTTCTATGTCAACGGAATATTGGGACACCCTGTATAGGTCTAAAGGTAAATGTTATGAACCATGTTCTAAGAATACTTAAACATCTATATTACCTGAAGAAATGTGCACCAGAGATCTAGAAATTTAAATTTTCCTTTTAATACTATGTTCCAATAGGCAATTGCCATATCTAAATCTAATCCTTTTTGATTTGGATTTTTAGCAAAATTAAAGGTAAATTGGTAAAAATCCTTAAATTTATAGCTGTCTTTTAACTCATTTTCTAATGTCGAAAGTCTTTGCTTTAACTTATCAATACTGTCACAACCTAACTCCGTCATTCCGTTTATAAATTCATCTCTTGAGAATTCGCACTGTGTGGCAGCCTTAAATTTCCAAGCAATTATCAGTACAAGTTTTGATTCCGGAGGTAAACCTAAATCATCGAGAAACTTCATAATACCATCTACAGTAATCTTGTCTGGTTCGGTAGGATCCTTATATCTGTTATATAAAGATTCTAATTTCTTCTTGTCTACGCTTCGGGGCTCCTTGTAATAAGCATCCGGGTTTTGAAAATAGTTGTCGCTAGCAAGGTCTAGTTTCCAGTCATTTTGTGTTAAACAATAAATTGCCGTGTTCTCACCTGTTTGAGTGAACGATATAAACTTTTTCACTTTTTCTCGTTGTGAGGACTTAAGTTTATGCTAAAAATTAGAAATTATTTATTAAAAATAGGTTAGAAAATCAATCAGTTTTGACAGATTCAGAGGATAAACATTTTCTTTAGTTATTTATCTTCTTTTAAGACAATTCTACATACCATTTTGAAAAAGTAATTACTAAGTAATAATTTGTTAATAAAAAGAAACCATTTGATTAGCAGTGCCGTTATTTTTTGGCTGATTCTATTCACAGTTTCTAAATTAACCTCAAAATTCTGCATAAACAACCATCTGTCAAAATGCGACTAAAAAACTTCTAAATAGTTCATGATTAAAACTGGAATCAAAACAATTAACAGTTATTAATTAAAAATTTGCATAAGTGTAAGTTGGTAAATAGTAATCGTAGAGAAATAAATCGATCGGTAAAAATTAACAAGGACTTGTTTATAGATAGTATGTTTATTAGACGTTTTCCAAATAGGTTAAAAAGCCTTAAATGTAAGCTATTCTCTAAAATAAATCTGCGATTTTATTCCAATGGACAAGTGAGAGTTAGATTTGCACCTAGTCCTACAGGTAATTTATTTATATTAATAAGCCAGTGTAAAATAAATGGACTTATTTTTTTTAATTTTAGGTTATTTACATTTGGGAGGTTTACGAACAGCTTTGTACAATTACCTTTTTGCTAAAAAGCACAATGGCGTTTTTATTCTACGCATCGAAGATACAGATCGAACTAGAACAATTCCTAGAGCTGCGGATAAATTACAAGAAGATTTATCTTGGGCTGGAATAGAAGTAGATGAAGGGCCACTGCAGGGTGGCTGTTCTGGTCCTTATATTCAATCAGAAAGGCTTCAGTTATACAAGTAAAATGTTTTGTTTAACTTTATTATTTTTTTTTTCTGATAATATGACATTTTAGGGATCATATAAAATTATTGCTCAACACTGGTTCAGCTTATCCATGTTTTTGTACTGAAAGGAGACTTAATCTATTGAGAAAAGAAGCCCTGAAAATGCAAGAGATACCTAAATATGATAACAAATGTCGCGACTTGTTAAAGGAGGAAGTGGAAGTCCGTATTAAAAAAGGCGAGCCGCATTGTATTAGATTTAAGGTTAGTTTTTTATTATTTTCGCATAAAAAATATCTTAGGGGTATTTAAGCTAACAGTATGTGTTTTTTCTTAAAACATTCATTTTGAAAATCACTAGAGAATTAAATTATGCAAACTTGTTAGCTGGCCTGTGTAGTATCCTATTCAATGATTAAGTTCCTATGAATTGGTACTTTAATACATCAATCAATCCTGATTTATGTTCTATACTAAAGTACAAAATCTTGTTATTTTTTATCTGAAAAAATAAAAACGTTATAGAGGTGAGCCACTTTTGAAAAACACCCGGTAGAATGAGTGGCGCGGCGGACGGCGCAGTTTGGTTGGAAGGGTTGGAAGGTCATTGTAGTGCTGGGGCATCGACGCTAAATATCGATGTGGATTTTTTTTAAGCCTAGGTTTCATCCATCGATTTCGGACATTTTTTTCGACATTATTACGTCATAAATGTATCATAGATTTTAAAAAGTTCCAATTTAACGGCTTTAAGTATGCATATTATTTTACGGATTTTTTGGTTAATTTTATATAGCTAGCTGTCCAATCAAAAACGTCCAAAGTTCGAATAATCGCTAATCATGTTGCATGCGTTGCCGCGTTTCAAAAGCGCGCTATAGTGGGCGCAGTTCCTTCGCAGCCGGAAAAAATTCTCTTCCCAGCGCCGCGCCGCGCAGCGATCTAGTGGGCGACAACCTTAATTCCTATTAAAAGTTCGTCTCTTGATATTTTGTCGATTTCGGCCTCCTTGATGAGATAAACGAAATTTTATTAATTTGCCTCGATCCAAGTCTAATAGCAACCTTTAAAAAAAATTAATATCAATAACCTGCGAAAGTTTTAATTAAGAACGCATTGATTCCTCATGAAAAAATATGAAAAAAGTTTGTATAAACATGGGTATGCAAATGCATAGTCTTAGAGTTACAGGATGTTAAAACTTTTTAAAATTAGGTTTTTTGTTATTATCTTAAATACCATTATTTTTTATTTGAAATTACTGTTGGTTGGACTAATAGTAATAATAACTAATAGAAATAATATTTAATAATAAATTATATAAAATATATAATTTATTAATTTTATTTTAATTTTATTAATTGTGATTAATAAAATTGTGTTTATCTCATCAAGGAGGCCGAATTCGCCAAAATATCAAGAGATAACTTTTAATTAGCATTAAACGGCACACACAATTTTGATATCAAAAGAATAAAAGTCAGTGGCGCACATGTTTTTTTTTGAAAAATATTCCAGTGATAACCCATATGCACGTCCTTGATTAATTTATCAACACTTTTTTAGCATTAAATTATGTAGCACTTTATATAACGTAGTAACTTTTAACCTCAAAATTTCATTCGAATCACTAAAAGTGCTTGGAAGAAATCTATAATAAATCAAAAAAAATATTAAGCTGTAGCTACGAAGCTAAGCAGAATCAGACCTATGTTGATATGAAAAATAAATCTTATTTTTACGTGAGGAATCTCCCCACGAGAGATGGCACATGTTTTTTGAAACACCCTGTATAAATGAGGCGTCAATTATCGCCTCATCCATTTTTTTTTAAATGGCCTAATGACATATATACAGGGAGACGCACCTCATTCGCCTCGGTGGAATATACGAAAACGGAAAGATGTAGGAACACAATATTTTATGGGTATATGTGGGAAGGCAATATGCATAATTTAAAATTATTTTGAATTGTACAGGGTGTGTCAGAACTAAGATCCATACCAAAGTTATATTTTTTCTTATAGAACATACCCGGTATTTTATTTCATTTTTGGATTCTTCAACATAAAATAAGGTATTTATTATAAGGGTTTAATATGTTTAAAAGCTTTGGTTTTTGAGATGTTTAAAGATATTTAAATATGCATGCTGTAATAAAAAAGTTTGTCAACACCTTGTACATTACTTTTCAGAATTAATTCTTGTGCTGACTTTCAAGCCAGAGAAATATACTTTACTAAAAAATTTGATTGCTTCCTTAAATGTATACAGGGGTATCAAAAATTGCTGGTCTATTTTAAATATTTATTTTACATAAAATAAGTCGAAGCAGATTTAAATGCTCTTTCAAACTATATTACACAGAAAAAAAAACTTGTGTAGATTAGATAAAATACTTAAGCACTATAGGGACAGACAAAACCTAATTTACCGTATCTAAATATTTTGACTAGAATTTCTCTCCTAATATAAATAACCCTATTATGTAATTTATAAAATAATTATTGTTAAGAATTAATAAACATTTTTGTGTTTGAAATGAAGTCGTTAGTTTTTTCAAATAAAATATTATGTACTACAAAAGAAAATTTAGTATAGTTGAAAACAGATGAAAAATATAGTTTGTGTGATAAACAAACGTTTTATCAAAAAATGAGGAGGTAATTCACTAAGGTACATAGGAAGAAGTACTAATTTAGAAAAATCGCATGTTGTAGTAAATACTTTTATTTTATCAAATACAAAATAAATGTGCTGGTGTACATAATATATTGGGGTGAAAAACTAATTTATCACCTACATTAGAAAAGTTTTTTACTAAACCAGAAAGTGAATTTGCTAGGGTAGATAAGCACACATGCGTACTTAGAGAAAGTTCTTATGTAGATTCAGGGTTTATGGTTATCCTTCAGTAACTTCTAAGCGAGGGAGCTTCCACCGTCCTGCTGGTTTTTCCTTTCGGATCTTTATTGTTGGAAAAATATAGGCCAGAAATTGCATAACAATCTTAGCTCTAGCGCCTAAAAAAATAAATATAAATTAGTAAATCTCGGATACTTCTCTATTACTTTATAGATAATTACTTGAAGAAATATCATCTGTCAGCTCGTTAGTAGTTTCTTTATTGCGTTGTCTTTAGAAAAGTTGCCACGACTTGCATATTTTATTTGAATAAATTCATTCCATGATCAGGGAAGGAAATAATTTTCCACTTGGAAATAATTTACTATTATAAGTACATAATATATTATTATACACAGTTATCTGCAAATTTTATTCGAGTAATTTCAGGAATGATTTTATCTAGAAAACATGAAAATTTCTGTATGGACGGCTATTGATAATTATGATTGGTGTATAAATAAATAAACGCTTGATTTAATTCTTATGTTTATAAATGTTCTTATGATTAGAACCGATGTTATATAAACCTGCCTTTAAATTTACTAAAAGATAGAATTCATGAGTTTTGCATTTATCGTTTTATGTTGCATTAGTCTTAAAATTAATAATTATAATAATTATTGAAATAAAATTGGAAATTACAACCCACAAAATCTTTCACGATTTCTTCGCGGTCCCACTCAATCAATAATCTTGTTTTTCTTCCATTATTACCTAATTACACATTTGACACAGTAAAATCAAAATCTATAATATACTTTTTAATATAGACTGGTTATTTCTATATCTTCTTCTTCTTCTTCTTCCTTCTTCATACTAGGCGAATCGCCTGTTTGGTTTCGTCGTCTCTACCGGTCAGACTGACAAGTTGTCGCTGCATCGTTTTCGTGGACGTCCTAAGCTTCTGCGACCTAGCGGTGATTTGTCGCGTGCAACTCTCACTATCCTTCTGTTGTCCATTCTGCTGATATGCTCGTTCCATTCTTCCTTTCTGCTGAGTACCCACTCATTTACATTTTCCACTTTGCACGCTCTTCTTATGCTTTCATTTCTCTCCCTGTCCAGAAGCGTCTTTCCAGCTATTCTGCGTAGTACTCTCATTTCGGTTGTTTCTAGTAGTTGTTTAGTTTTCGCTGTATCAGGTCGAGTTTCTGCAGTGTATGTCATTATTGGTCGTACCGTTGCCTTGTAAATTCTCGCTTTAGTCTCCACCTCAAAGTTTTTATTTCGCCATATTGTATCATTCAGGTATCCTGCTATTCTGGTTGCCTTCGTTGTCCGTTCTCGCATCTCTGCTTCTATATCACCATATCCTGAGATTTCTATGCCTAGATACTTAAACTTCATCTCTTTCTGAATAACATTGCCCTCGACTTCCAGTTTGCATCTTAGTGGTACTTTTGATGTCGTCATGCATTTAGTTTTCTGGGTCGATATTATCATATTAAGTGATTTGGCAGTGCAATTAAATCGATGTAATAAGCGCTGTAGATTGTTCTCCTTTTCAGCTACCAATACGGCGTCATCGGCATAGCATAGAATAGTAATTTCCTGGTCGCCCATACTGTATCCCTTCAGTAAACGTACATTTCCTATTATTTCGTCCATAATGATGTTGAAAAGAAGAGGGCTCAGGGAGTCACCGTGTCGGATACCACAGCCTACATTTATTGGTTCGGTCAGGACCCCGTTAATTTTAGCTTGAATTTGGTTCGCTTCATATATGTTTTGTATGGTTTTAACGAGGTTGTGTGGGATTTGCCTATTGTAAAGAAGGTGTACAACGTCTCTTAGCTGCACACGGTCGAACGCTTTTTCTAAATCAATAAAACACATATACGCTGGTTTGTTATATTCGATTGATTTTTCTGTTGTCTGTCTTATGACAAAAACCGCGTCTGTGCATGATCTGCCCGATCTAAAACCTTACTGTTCATCTGCTAAGCATGTTAAGTCGTTTATTTTGGTTGTCATCACTTTTGTCGTAAGTTTTAGTGTGGTGCTTAGAAGATTTATGCCTCTATAGTTTGAGGGCAGCTTCTTATCTCCTCTTTTAAACATCAAGATGGTGCTGGTTCGCCATTCATCGGGTATTCTGTGTTGGTAAAGAATTTTTTGAATCAGGGATGTTAGCTGCTGTATGAGACTTTGGCCGCCATATTTAAGTTATTCGTTTGGGATATCATCTTGCCCTGGGCTCTTCATATTCTTTAGCTTTCGAAGGGATGTAATTATATCGGCTGCCTCAATCTGTACGTTGTCGTTGGTCATTATTTCGGGTGTATTTAGTTCAACCTCTATTTCTTTTATTTGTATAGTTCTGTCAAGTAATCAATCCAGGATTGTTCCTATATATTGTAATATATAGACTTTGGTAAAACAATCGAATTTCTTCAATATATTAATTAAACATTTAAGACGATGCGAACGCTGTTAGATGGAAATAAATGACGCAGTGCCTAAAATCTTGACGAAAGGGCTGAAAGAAGTTACGATCTGTTTTAATTATATTTTTTATTAAGCGTAAAAATAAATAGTCTCCATTATTCCGTATCACTATCTGGAGTAGCTAAGAACCTTGTCTAATTCAAACATTAATTTGTTAATATAACAAATTATTTTTTCGGACACATAAGTTATGTTTTTAGATTGCTAGCGTGCTTTAAAACTTATCTAACTTAAATAATTTCACAAACGCTCGTCTACAAGTTTTTTGATTGTTTTAAACAAAATAATGTCTTACTTTAATAAAACATTGTGTTGAAACACAAACGATATAAAATAAATTTGAGTCAAATAAAAAAGTTTTCTGTCAGGTCTACACAAAAAGACAATAGTACTAAACAACACTTGTTTCAAAAGTTATTAGGTCCTATTTCGTTAAACTACACTATTAAAATTAATAAGCATAAACAAACGATTTATGTGTTTTTAATAATTAGTAAGTTGTATAATATAATTCAAATAAAGTTTAATTTGAGCGAGAAAATATTGTGTTAGAAGAAAAAAATGATTCTTGTGCATAACGTATCTAGTAAATTTGACTACTGCTTTATCTGAATCCAAAAACATACACATATAATTCAGTAAATTACTCATCAGATAATAAATCTTATCTAATTACTCCAAGTTATTTTTTTCTGTGTAGGGTTTCCTATACCTATCTTGCTCAGATTTTGAATAAAAAGCGATTTTTCAATAAAATTGCAATCAGGATGGCTGATTTCGTCATAGCAATTTTCTAGTGACACTTAGTAGCTCTTTTCAAAATAGACATTAGTTCGTGGACTTTACTTAAATTTATAACAGGTTATTTTTATTTAATTTACCTACAATAAGGTTAATAAGTAAGTAATGTAAACGCCACGAATGTTTGGGAGTGATTCATCGGTCGCTACCATGTGAACTAATCTGTTCAAGGTCACATGAAACTTAATTCCAGTGCCGTGGTGTTTAAAGTCTTCTCTCTCTTTAAATATAAATTCTCTTTCTTCCTCTAAAGTTCTAGGACTAAACTGGAATCCCTCTACAGATGAATTTTTCTTTGATTCACCAGCGTTGTCCTTGACAAACAAAATCTGTAACAAACGCAATATTCTTTCACAACTCGCAAGCATATTCGATCCTTGTGGCATGTTAGTTCCTCTCACTCTTCACCTAAAACTGATTATACAAGATTTCTGGAAGTTAGGTATAAATTGGGATGATCCTGCTCCCAATAACATTGCTACATCTTGGCATCAACTCGTTCAAGAATTACCTTGTATTTTCTCTCTCAAAGTTCCTCGATATTTTCTCACTCTCAAATATTTATCCCTGGAAGTACATGGTTTTTGTGATGCTAGTGAAAAAGGCTATTGTGCAGTAATTTATTTTAGGATAATTCTTCCAGATAACTCTGTAAAAACAAATTTTGTCTGCGCTAAAGGCAAAGTAGCTCCACTCAAAAAAATCTCAATTCCAAGACTGGAACTCTGTGCAGCCTTACTTCTGACCAGGTTAATTGATTTCGTTAGAACTTCTCTTTCTAATAAACTTATTAATGTTAGTACGATTGCATGGTCCGACTCGATGGTTGTTTTGCATTGGCTTAAAAGTGAACCATATAAGTGGAACACCTTTGTAAGCAATCGAGTTTCCCAAATTCAAGAGAAATTACCTCCTTCTTGTTGGCGTCATGTAGTCTCCAAAGACAACCCCGCTGATCCAGGTTCTCGTGGTCTTCAACCTAGCGAGTTACTCGACAATGCCTTATGGTGGGCGGGACCTCCATGGCTAAGCCACCGGAATCTTATTGGCCACAATCAATTTTACTTTCCTGAAACTGAAGAAGAACAACGAAAAGTTATATTGACATGTACTTCACAGCCCTCATTGTTTGATACTCTCTTTGAAAAGTTCTCTTCTTTCTCTAAAATTATAAATATTGTCACGTTTTGCAGACGCTTTCTCTATAATACTCGACATTCTAAATCTCGTAAAACCTCTCCTCTCTCGAAATTTGAAATAAATGAAACTCTAGAATGTATTATTAAATGTGTTCAATCACAATATTATGCTAGGGAAATTCTCTTAATAAATAATTGCAAATCTCTACCTAAATACTTAAGAAAATTGACCCCCTTTATCGACACCAATGGAATTCTTAGAGTTGGTGGTCGCTTGCGCAATGCTTCTCTAAATTTCTCTCAAAAACATCCCGCACTCTTACCCAATAATCATAAATTTACTACTCTACTCATAGAATATACTCATAAACTCTATTTGCATCCCGGTCCCCAAACTCTTCACTATATTCTCGCTCAACAATACTGGATTGTTTCTGCTAGAAAAACAATTCGTAGTGTTCTCTTTAAATGTCCTCAATGCTTTCGCGCTAATCCAGTAATGCCTCAGCCTCCTATTATGGGAGATATTCCTGCTGTAAGACTTTCTCAAGTAAAACCTTTCTCTGAAGTTGGATGCGACTATGGTGGTCCATTCTCTTTATTAAGATATCGTGCACGAGGTGCTAAGTCCTGTAAAGCCTATATTTGCTTATTTGTGTGCATGGCCACGAAAGCTTTGCACTTAGAACTGGTTTCCGACCTTTCCTCCGAGACTTTTCTGGGTGCAATGCGTCGATTCATTTCTCGTAGAGGTCGCTGCAATCATATTTATTCCGATTGTGGAACGAACTTTGTCGGAGCTTCTAGAGAACTGATTAATATGCTAAAATCCGCCGCTGAGCAAGAACAAATTTCCTGGCACTTCAATCCTCCAAGCGCGCCTCATTTTGGTGGCCTGTGGGAAGCAAGAATAAAGTCTGTAAAAACTCACATTAAAAGGGTCATTGGTGACCAATTGCTCACGTATGAGGAATTTTATACGCTACTGGTTCAAATAGAAGCAGTGCTTAATTCTCGTCCATTGTGTCCACAAAGCTCTGATCCTAATGATTTGTCAGTTCTTACTCCAGGACATTTTTTAAGATGATCTTTCCGGGATAAAATTAAATCATCTCTCTCGCTGGCAGTTGATATCACGCTTGCACCAAAGCTTTTGGAGCCGATGGTCTAAAGAATACCTTCAAACACTTTTACAAAGAGCTAAATGGAATGACTCTACTATTCCAATAGAAATAAACTCGGTTGTTTTAATAAAGGATGATAATCTTATTCCGCTCAAATGGAGCATTGGAAGAGTCTTAGAGATTCACCCGGGCCATGATCGTGTTACACGCGTGGTTACTTTAAAAACAGCAAAAGGCATTCTTAAAAGACCAGTGACAAAGATATGCCCACTGCCTTACTGCAAATCTCATAATTAAAATTTACTCTCTAAAAAAAAACATAATCGCAAAAAAAACATAATCGCAAAAAAAAACATAATCTCATTATAAACATAATTAACATATCTTATTTAATTACTTTTCTCTACTCTATAACAAATGTAAACTCTCTTAATATTTAATTAAATTACACTCATGCATTAACCCCAATAATGCATTTTTATAAATTTCCTCTAAATTTAACTTCATAAATTTCACTCTTACTTTCTTTTAAACATACCGCATTTTTTCACTTTTTTTTTACTTTACTATTCTCAAACGAAAATGGAAAATATTTCATTTTGGTGGGCGGTATGTTGGATTCTATCCCTTCCTCCCATCCTTTACCCGAAAAACCTTAGTGGGTACGTAGCCGTAGTCGAATACGCAGCGTGACGAGAGAGTGACAAGATCGGCCGAGTACACAGTGTACACCTCCAAGCGCGCGCTATCCTCAAGTGTTTTGTTCAAGCAAAAAATCAACAGGTACGAGTCCAGAACGGGAATAAAGGTGAGTGCCCACAGTCCTGATACATTAACTCACCCTAATGAACTGAGCCCCTTAATTCTCGCCCGTAACATGCGGAGACTTTAGATGTACAAAATATTTACTCTAAAAATTGTTTCAAAAATAAATCTATATAAATTATCTCGTAAACTATTATTGGAATGAAAATTTTATGGCAAATCCCCTGACCAAAAAATATTTTCATGCGCATATTTGAGACTACCTGTATATCTAAAAAACTATTTTTAAAATCTGCCCACTTGCTAAAAAAATAATAACATTTAATTAATTACATAATATCTCAGCTTCTAAAATAACCAAATATAATTAAATGTTAATTGATAATTACTATTAGCTTGCCGATTTATATCCGATGGAAATCTAAAAAAACTCAAAGAACAATTTTTTGAATTATTACTACAATTAATAGCAGCACACAGTAATGCACTCATTTTTTATCAATCCGTCTCTGTGCTGGAACGCAACGCTCGAACCTCGCAGCTCGACGGACGGAATTCAACTGAAACGCTTTGCAACCTGCCGATATTCGACAGCTTGCAAAAACTGGCAGAAAATATTTGCGAGAGTGCAACTACTCTTTTCCTTAAACTATGGTACTACTTCGCGGCGGTAGAGCAACCGTGCAAACCTAGGAAACTTCTCTTTCACTTCAAATGGACCAATCAAAACGATAGTTAGCTTTCCAACACACTTTTTTTCAAGTTACCTCTCTAATTTAATGGGTTTATGGTTTATACTTACTATACTTATATAAACGTATTTAATTCAGATCAGTAATAAAGAAGAATCATTTGATGATTTAATTTATGGCAATATTAGCTACAATGTTTCTCTTAACGAAGGAGATCCTGTTATTATAAAATCGGATGGATACCCCACCTATCATTATGCCAATGTAATCGATGATCATTTAATGAAGATTACTCATGTTTTGAGAGGGGTAGAGTGGCAAATTTCAACTACAAAGCATTTGATGCTGTATAGGTAGGTGAGTATTTTCTGTTTTATTTATATTATTACTTTACCATCTGTGAAAAATATATCTCTATAGGCTTGGTGCATTCTCCGCCGGTGCTGCCACAATCGGAGAATACCGTAAACCCGTGTATTTGTTACATGGGTTTAAATTATATTAGTATACCAAAAATTATTATATAATAATTATTCTAAAAGTGTTAGGAAGTATAATTATTTGTGAAAATTCTAAAAATAAAAATAAAGTAAATATTTTGGTATCTTTAGAAGGTCTAACTTGTATTATACTTCAGTTGGACACGTCCTCCTAGATCACCATGTAGTAGTAATACTTCTGTCACTGTTTTGAGCGCATGTTTAAAGAAAATGATTCACCGCCTCTTATATCACACCACTTTTATGTCTCATTATACTTCTTGCGCTGGTACGAGCAGCAGTGTAAATTTAGCAGACAATATTTTATATAAAATTCGCGGAAATGGGTAAAGAAAAAAAAATAGGTTGTGAGGAAAGGGTCAAGAAAAGGCGGAAAATGAAAAAAACTTGAAAAGAAACTCTATACATATGAATCAAGTAAGTAAATAACCTTTTATTCCCTAATTATTTTTTTTTAGTTCATACAAGTAAACAAGGGTAGTAGAAATAGCTATGAGATGGTCTAGGGGGTGTAGGCTGTTAGTCTAGACCCCGCATTGCCTAAAATTATATTATTTTCTTCGGCGACGCGGCCGTAAATTGCCTGCCTTAAAACATACCATTCATGACTCATAGCACTATCGAATTCGGTAAATAAACAACTTTTTATCGACTCGAATATAAGCAATTTTTCTTATCGGCTCGATAAAGTAAACCTATATTAAAATTTAACGGAACCTAAACGTTATTTTGGGCATAAAAAATGTGGGCTCTTGCTAAATAATCAAGTGCCAGTAACACCTTACGGGTGCTAATAAAGTACTTGCTAAATATCCAAGTACCGGCAACACCCATTGGGCGTCAATGTCCTACAAGATTACTTGCTAAATATTCAAGTTCAAAATCTTAGTTGCACTTGCTAAATAATTATACGAAGTTGGACACGTCCTCCTAGATCAACCCACCCTTATGTGTCTCACAAAGTGAATCACACTATCAAAGGTAAACTACCTATATGATAGATACATACCCGACCCAACGGCGATCAGAATGCTTCAGAAGTATAATGAGACATAAAAGTGGTGTGATATAAGAGGCGGTGAATCATTTTCTTTAAACATGCGCTCAAAACAGTGACAGAAGTATTACTACTACATGGTGATCTAGGAGGACGTGTCCAACTTCGTATAATTTGGATTGAACTTCCTTACAGGTAAGTCGTTTAATCCTTAATTATAATTTATTATTCCAGCTAAAAAAACTTTTTAGATGAGTTCAACTACGGTAGCGAACTTACGAAATTTTTTAAAGGTACATAATTATAATTTTAGAAGATGTTCATAAAACATTTAATCACTACTTGATTTAAAAAAGTATACCATTAATATTGCCAAATTATATTTTATTCTTTCATAGTATGTATATGTCTATTTAATTTTTTGATTATGTAACGAGCACTTTATTGACTCACTTGTTTCGTCGATCCATTGAATCCATTTTTGCTTTTGATCAAATCGGTGTGAGAATCTATGAAGCTATAAAATGTTGTTTCGGGAGAGTTGAATATCCGGGAAAGTTGAGTTATTGAATGTTATTGCATCCAACAACATCCTAATTACGCTTTTTCGGCTATTTTATTAACATTTGAAATTGCTACAACACAACACGACGCCTTGTTTGAATTGTTTTCACTTATTTTTTACTAACCGAAACAGAATTACATCAGACTAACTTCGTACCTGAGTGTGTTATATTCTAGTCTCAATAACTGCGCTAACAAAAAACTAAAATACTTAAATATTATGACAAAGCCATTATTTCAATATTATTTTAATGCGATCAACATGATTTGTAACTGAGACGGCGCATAGTGTTCAAAATTTGCAAAAAAACGATCAAAATTGAAAATCTTTAGTTTATTTGAGAATCGTCAAACTTATGTATATGTTTCTTTACGTCATTTTACAACTTTTAACCAAGCATTGCTAATGGCTTTATCATGACTGAAGATCTTTATGAGCAAAAGCTAAAAAAATAATAATAATTTTATACAACATATTTTGGCATTAAAATGTTTCCTTTTGCTTCGGCGTTAGCCGCTGCAGGTCGAATTTTTCATGGAAATCTAATTGTATCAGGAAAAAGTACATATTTTAAGGATTTAAGCAACCTAAATACAATAATGAAGGTCGCTTTTCCTTTCAGGTATAATTCGCTGCCTATAACCCAACACAGTTTTTGAAGAAATGTCATTTTATTGGCCTTTTATGTTTATTGCTAGTCCTTGCTAATCACTAAATTATACATTAAATAAAAGCCTATAATCTAAGGAATTTAGGAACATTTTGTTTTACCTTCGCAAAGGTGCGCATCAGGCTGCAATATGGATTCATGGTGCTGAGTTCCAAACATGTTTACACGCGGCCGGGCGGCCAGTATTTAGTTTTTTATTATAATGTGTTCAGTGTAGTCATAAGTTTAGTTTGTGTTATTTTGCGGTGTTGTAAGTCAAGAAATATATTGTTTTAAAGTGTGTGGGTTTATTTTTGGCATTTATTAATGATGACAATTACACCTCTGCATCTACATGAGAAAATGATGGAAATACCTTGCCAAGATTTCTCTGTGAAGAAAATTCATGTTTTGGACTTTTTAAAAGATCATTTTCAAACAAACGGAGATGAAATTGCAACTAACTCTCTCAATAACTTCATGAGGCAATCGTTTTTTCAGCAATATTTAACAAAATGGAAAGCTGCTGGGAGGAAAGACAGAAATTTCTTGTCTAGGCATGCAGATTGGCTACAGGTTGATGTTATTTTTCTCGATGAAGTGTTTCGTTTCGTCAACGACAACTTGCGGTTCTTGGTTATTCTGCATATACAAGTGGTGGTAAATATACAAAATAATTATTTATCTATAGGGATAAATTCTAAAATTTTATATTATTATAGCAGGTTGGTCGTCAAAAACATTTGTAGAAAGTTCGGGCCGTAAACGTAGAAAGACTGAAGAAATTCGACGGCAAAATACAGCAGCCGAGTTATCATTTGCTGCGTCCATGAAATTGCGTGAAGAGGGAAACGTCTCTGCTACAAAATTGGTAACAGAGGTAACTATGACCACGTCCACAAGAGCAACTAAAATTCTGGAATGTTCACACAACAAAAATCAGCCCTGCTAAAATTAATGAGGATTTGTTCAGAAGACTCATATTGAGCTCGGATCCACTCCTGAGTTCATTTCATTTCTCCAAAAAAGTTCATAGGAAAATAGACCAAAGCATCCTTCCTTCACTGGACCTTACAGAGGAGGAGAAACATGAACTCAAAATTGATGAGCATAATGACAATGAAGATAATGATGGGCGGGAATAATATGAGGATTCGGATGATTAGTTTTTATACAGTTATAATTGATATATGACTGCTATAGACTATTTGCAATAAAACCTGTCAAAAATTAATGAAAAAGTCGTTTAAATTGGCGCAATAGGATTTACAGTTTGCACGTAATTAATTTTGATCAAGTTTTCATCAATTTTGAACAATGTGCGGCGCGGCGTGAAATACATAGCGAAAATTTCCGATTTCTGCCGTATACCAAGCACCAAGCCTATACTATCTACTGGGTGCATCTCAAAAGTGGCTCACCTCTATAACTTTTTATTTTTTCAGATAAAAAAAACGAGATCTGGTATGTTAGTATATTACATAAATTAGGATTGATTGACGTATTCAATTGTTTTATAAATATAATAATAAATTATTCGTAAAATATATATTATTTTTTTAAGTACCACACACTTGGTATTTCGAGTCAAATTGTCGTTATGAATCGCATGTTGCAATTTCTAATAAAAAAAATAAAAGGCCAAAGTTGACATATGATATGTCATTCTATTCAGAGTATCATTTTCTATTGAATAAAGCAACAAAAAACCGAGGGTACCATTTAAAAGTCAAAAGTTGTAGTCATTACCGGCTAATCCGGAAGTGACAGAAATCAATGGAATACGTCAATCAATCCTAATTTTTGTCATATACTAACATACCAAATCTGGTTTTTTTATCTGAAAAATTAAAAATGTTTTAGGGGTGAGCCACTTTTGAGACGCACCCGGTATAACAATATTATGTTTGTAAAGATCAGATCGGTATATGGTAGTATAGTGTGGTAAAAACTAACGTGTGTAAGTTCTTCCATTTATTTCTTCTTTGTTCACAGAGCTTTTGGTTGGAATCCACCAAGTTTTGGCCATTTACCTTTATTGATGAATGCGGATGGCAGTAAACTGAGCAAACGTCAAGGCGATATTCGAATAAGCTCTTACAGAGAAAACGGTATATTCCCGTTAGCTTTGATTAATTATATTGCAAACTCCGGTGGTGGTTTCGAAAAGGATCAAGAACGATATATAAAACCAAAATGTTATACTTTGGAACAGTTGGCCTCTCAGGTAAAAACATATTTCTAATTTACAATCTATCTACATTTACATGCAGATTTAGGAAAAACGACGGTTGCATCTTTCAGAAAAAAAATCAGAAAAGATGTGCCGTATCAGTTTATACTCCAGTCAAATTAGTTAAAAAAGGCCAATCGGTGGAAAAAAACCTAGAGTTTTGAAATTCGCTTTAAACTGTTCTGTTATACTCTTAGATCTTATAAACTTCGTGGATAAGTAAATCCACTTCATTTTTGTTGAAGATACATCAGCGACATTCGACTCTCTGATTATCTTTGTCTTTTGCACTAATTGACCAATCGTCTGTCTTTCTTTTGTGCACATGTCATTTTTACGTCATAAAATAGAAAATATAAATATATAAAATAGAGAAAATAAATATTGTTATTCGGATATTCTAGTTCTACTTTTCCAGTTAACGTCTCCTTTTAGCTGCTAGGGCTAATCTGGACGGGGCCTACTTTGTTTACGCCGAATCTGAACCGCGGTCCTCAGCCATATCATGATCAATGGCCTACCGACTTGCAAGTGTCTAAATCGACTCTTACTCACGAACCGGCGTGAATGAGCAGTGTGTGTCAATAGATTTTACACTTTTGCCTTTGGACAACAGCACGATACAGTTTCGAACCGGTCACTCATCTATCCACTAGTATCGCCATGCGTCACTTAACTTCAGTGTTCTAATGGGAACCAATTTCTATTTCAAACAGTTTTTATTAATTACCAATATAGTTAAAATAAACCAATATAGTTATAAAAATAAATTAATTAAAGTTAACAAACTTTTTTTCAAAAAATTTATATGCAATAGTATAAGCAATTTTAGCTGATAGTAAAGAGGAATAAAAACTTAAAAAGTCAACAAAAACCACATCTGGATATCTTTTTCCAAACAGAAGATATTAGCAAAAACATAATAATACCAAAACTGCATCAGTAGCCTTTTTGATAATGACCATTCTAATAAAAAATAAAATACAAACGATTAATTTATTCTAATATCGATAATATACCAGAATACCATAATACCAGATGTATGAATATCTAATAATTAAGATGCCCATAACATTGAATAAGAAACTACGCCACAATTAAGCTATGGTGAGCTTTGCAAAAAAAGTTGCTTTTGGACATTTTGAAGTAATAGTTTAAACGTTAAACTGTTATTAGATCAGCATCTGATCTGTCTCGGCAGCGTTTTTTATCATGACTTCACTGAAGCGTCGCTTCTTGTTCACTGTCATTGGCTTCTTAATTATTTATTAAATATTAATATATCTGGTATTATGGTATTCTGGTATATTATCCATATTAGAATAAATTAATCGTTTGTATTTCATTTTTTATTAGAAAACTTATACATTTTTTATTAGATACTGATACCTTAGAATACTGATAAAATAAGGTAATTAAGGGTTTACTTTTTCGTATTTATTATATTTTTGCTAATATCTTCTGTTTCGAGAAAGATATCCAGATGGGGTTTGGATAGAATTGTGAAAATATGCGTAAGCTGTTTGTCCATTGGGGGAAGAGCTGTCAGTCAGACCATGGAAAATTCCGCGCGTCGCATAAATGCATGCGCGTGCTAATACAATTTCACTCTGACTGACGGTCTTACCATCCCTAGACACTCAGCTGAAGGTAATTATTATATTTCTATATAAGTACGAAATCTTGTGTAAAAGTTTCAAACGGGATGCAATAATAATTTTAAATTCGTATTTTTTTCTCAAGTTCAGGCGCTCGACTAACGTATTTTCCACCCTCAGCGGACCGGCTGGCGGTCGTTTTTTATTACTATTGTAGCATTTTTTATAAAAGCGAACGGCAGCTTTTCATCGGAGAGCAGTCGTGGGTAAGGTATTTCACTAGAGAGAAAACTAATCAATAACAATAAACAAAAAAATATTGATATTGGGCGCCAGGCATGTACAGAGAAAGAAAACACAGTTGTATATTACTTAAAACTAATGTCTATATTTATTCATGATGTTCTTTGCTGGTACATGACATTGTAGAGTTCTAATAAATATATAGTGGTTATATGTCAAAGAAAGTGGTGTTAAGAATTGTACTAAATATCTATGAAAACAACTATGATAAAATACAAGACATGTAAAGTTTAAGAGAATATATGAAATGTAGCATTACTTTAATTAATTTGATATATTTTATATGATGTTAAATCGAAGATGTTGCAACCCGTAGATTCTAGAATCTATGTTTGGTTATTCATCTGTTAAAATAGTGCAATAATAATATCTATAAAAGTAATACCATTACAAGACGTAATGCAATGAAACCTAAGATCTAAATTATATTTTAAATATTAAATCGACATGAATGTTCTTAACAATCTCACCACTAAACATAGTCTGTACGATATTACTTAAGATGTACGTTATTGTTTAAGACTGAAAATGTTTTAAATGCTAAATGTAAAACTAGAACTTAAATCTACACTTAGCTGTTCTTTATGTAATCTTACTTCAAACAGTAACAGCGTGAGGTGGTCTCGCATCTCTGTACTCGGCCATCCAATACAACAAAAGGGGCCAGAATGAGGACATCATGAAATGATACCGCCGTAACTACTAATTAGCTTATAGATGGGAACGAAGCAGCATGGGGCTCAAGCCACAACCATGCTGGGACACTTTATATGTAAGAAAAATCATTCCTACTGGGGGCACTCGTCCACAGGACATCCGTACATAGGATAATGGTACAAGGGAACACTACCCGTACTTTGGACCATAACCTAGGAATCAATACACAGATATGGGACACCTGCCCATACCTTGGACCCTAAAAATACGAAACTCTTGTTTAAAATCAAACAAGGTCTAATAAACAAAATGAACCTACATCGAATTACTTCCGAGGGCTCAATAATAAACAAAGAAACTGTCCTTTCTTCCATGTAACATTCTGGAGGACAAAAGAAAAGGGACGCCAACGTGCCAGCAAAATACAAATACAAGTTAAGTTGGGACATCCGTAACTCTACCCTAAAAATATGCAGTAATAATATCGAATCTAAAAGGATAATATCTCATCTTTACCTGTTGCTTTGAAATAGCAGCTGATTCAGATTATACAGCAAGATTTAAATAATTACCATTTCTAAAAGCCGGGTGACCAAAAGTGAGGTTAAAGCGCAGAGAGGCGCCTTGAAAGGATCTTGACAGCGCGCGCCTCCACAGTAACAGTAAAACGATAGCAGGGTTGCTGACTAGAGGACGTAAAAATTACGCCAAGCGCGTCAAATAAACTATCCGGCCTGAACGAGAGGGAATCCGGTGATGATACGCCAGACATCATATATCATATACAAAGACATGTAACGAACTAAAAACGTTACACTATATAACATCAATATTACATACAAGCAGTTTCACGCGGGATAAAATAACTTCATAAATCTATTTTTTACGAATATCGTATCCTCCCACGCTCGCATCCATCGGCCTAACGACCTTGAATAGATTTCCAGTAATTCTATTGGCTGAAAAATTTATGTGTCAGAAATTTTATCTGTCAAATTCAACTGTCAAAAATTTCAGCCAATAGAATTGCTGGAAATCTATTCAAGGTCGATACGCCGTTTCTAGGATAGTGCATCCAGCCCAAGAACAGTTAACCTGCTCATTCAGCCAAAAGTGTCCGCCAGATGCATGCGAAAACTACTCGCTTTGTGACGTCATTGTAGTCCTTGTCATGGTTATTAGTCCTTGTCCGGCAACCAATAATACACACACGGGCATTATTGGTTGCCGAATGCAAAACGTTCATTATTTAGTTTATTTATTTAAACATCTTATATGTATGCAGTATAGAAAATTAACTGTATAAATCGTATTAAATACTCGGATAATGCATTTTTAAGAACAGCAGTTCCCAGCATCACCTTTTGCAAGCATTCTTTTTAGAGTACTTCCATATTTTGCTTTAAAATAATTAATAAACAAAATCGTGGGCACTTAGTAAGCACTTTGTCACAATCCACAACACAAAATGAACGTATTTATACACTCTATAGCTCTAAAAACTTTAAAGACACCTTTTTCATATTTAAAATTGACAAAATAATTAACTCAGAATTTCTCAGCTGTTATTTTTATAAGTTTACCATAGGCAACTAATAATACACACTATCATGACAAGGCTTTGACAAGGACTACAATGACGTCACAACTGTCAGCTGACGCGCGGGAAGAGGCGAACGTACGTCTCACAAAACACATACACAAGAAGTGCTAGCGCCTTGCTAAATATTTGAAAGTGAAATTGACGTTTAAATTGGACACTGTTGACAAGTCTATTGCTACTAGCGCCCCCAATATCGCTTGTAGGAACTACGGACTAGATCGTCACGGATGGCGGGAAGTTAAAAAAAATAAAAACATTTTAATTCTTCATTTATTTTTAATTATGAAATACATAAAAACACAAAAAATACACCATTTTTTAAAAATATGTTTAATATCAATATCAAATATACAACAGAAATTAATTTTACCACAATAAATTAATAAAATTAAAAAAATAATGTTACAAGTAGATCAAGAGACAAAATTAATTATAACAAAACTGAAAAAAATGGCGTCATAGATGGCTTAGAAATGAAGATATATATCATAATTTTGAAGGCAAAATTATATGGGAAATGTCATCGATCATTATTTTTAAGCCAACTGGACGATTATTTCAAACATACAAGCTGAGTTCGTTCATAGTGCTCTGAGAATTCTAGAAAAACAAAGAATAATAAATTAAAAGTATTCCACGGGAAAAGAGGGGAAAAACCTGTATCGTTTGTGATATCTGTCAGGGTATTGTTGAAAGTGTCATCTTTTTGCTCGAAGTTTTCAGGTCGATCCAAAAGATGACATTTACAACAATACTTTTGCCGTAACTCACAAATATCAGAGAGAGTACAGGTATTGCCTCTCTTTTCCTCTGGGATGTTTTATATCTGTTGTTCTTTGTTTATCTATATTTCGTTCGTGTTCATAGAGCATAATGCCGATCACGACTACAGTATATAATTTCAATATCCTAAGTGGAAAGAAAAATGATCACTTTTCTGTTCTGTACTATGGTCTCTTTCTTCCGATGGCTCGTCTCGTTGATATTTAGGAAGGTATCCACAAAATATATATTTTACTATCGGTCCTGGGATGAAAAAATATAAAATTCAATTTGATTTGATGATCCTTTTCTGTCACCTAATCAGGAGAATGACAATGAGCATGTTAAGATGAAAAAAAAATATTTATCAACACTTACTTACCCGTTAGTCCGAGGAGTTTTATCAAAAACCTATATTTGCCTAAATAATTTATGTGTTAAATTTGCAAAGCAAACTGCAGCGTGTAAACAAAACAAATAAAATGGCGACAAGTCAACATCAACGACCCGACAAGGAGAAAAGTGGTGGACGAATAACAAATTATGGGTCACCAAAAATTGTTTTTGTCTCCTTTCAACGCACACTTTAGAAAGAAAAAGAGATGAACTATAATATTGAAAGAACGTCAAGGTTTTATCTGTCACTCTTGTCAATAATTTATCGGTAAGAAAGAATCCTAGAAAATCGCTTGTCAAGTTTTGAACCATTGCCAGTTCTCCCATAAGAAGTGTCATCCATCTGGTACGTCCATCGTCTTATGAGGATGAGCAATCCTATTAGTTTACCGTTCTTGCATCCAGCCCCCTGACGGTCGGTTTCGTCATTTAGAATGTGAGTTTAACCTACTGTATCAAACTCAGCCGGGATGAAATTCCTTAAAAAAAGCCGCTGCCCTCCCAGACTATGATTATCTGAATATACCGTGACTATCTAATATCCGTGAATATGTTCAGATAACTCGCTTTTTATTGCGTAAGGTGTTTGTTAACATAGAAAATATTTTCTGTTATTTTTTTCGCTTCATATTTTTGGGTAATTAAAAAATCAAACCATATAGAACTACTACGTATTTTTGGAATAAAAATAAGTTCATTAGACACAATTTACCTCTATACAAATGTACTTCGCTCGATCCTTCGTTTGTTCGTTAGAGAGCATCAAATTTTAAGAAAATAAACACATTTTTTAAGATATTTTAATCGATAATCGATTTGAAGGAGATTTGTGGTGCCTATGTTTTGCTAAACGCTTTAACATTTGTCTAAGCAAGAAAAAGTACAGGAAGAGTGAAATGTCCTCCACCCCAACATAAATTTTAATAGAAATATTTTCTATCCCCACTGACGACTGATTTTTCCTAGTATTTACTCCATTTTTTGTTTCTTTTAATGCCACATCGCATAGTTTTTGAGAAAAAAAATTGATTTTTTTTTCAAAGCAGGACTCAAAATATATAGAGAGTTCCAATATTTCTTGGACATAAAAAACTAGGTATTTTCAGAATTAAAATAAGTTAATTGCACACAATGATTTTCAAAACTCTAGTGCATATTTGTTTTCCACTAATTTGTCTAATTTGGCTATTTTGTGAATCGGGGTTTTACACAATTTTTTTTTAGTTTGATTTGTCTAAAATAAATTCGCATTCGGGGAAATTAATGTCTGAGATGTTACCGGAATTTAATCGTTTGGAATTAAAAAGGCAATTTGAAGAAAAGCATTTGAGAAGTAAATTGGTACTAAATGTAAAGGAACTCTTAAAAAATACGTATCCTGAGAGGTAATACATATTTCCTGCTTTTAATTCGTCATTCATTTTATGATTTATAAATACGATTCTCACATTTAAAAGAGACTAAGGAATGTAAATAGATATATAAAAAATTGTATGTGCAATACAAAGAATATACCTAGCTAGGTGCAATACAGAGGGAACACTAATAACTAAAGTGAGAGAGACCGATCAACGTTTATTTTTAAAGACTGTGTTAGTGGCGCGGCCTTTGGCGTCTAACCCGAACTATGAGCGCATTATCGATATAGTAGGTTGCATTCATACCTATATACTGGCGCCAAAAATTTAAAATTTGTGTATTTGGAACCGAATCTTAATCTTTCAAGTTTATAATAAGAAATCTTCGTAGTTTTTTTAGATTATTTTGTTTACAACGAAAATTTATTATTAGACTTTAAAGCATTAAAACCTATAAATAAAATACTGTGTAGGAACATAATAATTTATTTAACTTAGTTTGGTTTTCAGTTTTTGCAGAATTCATTTACCAGGTCTTTGGTGGGTTGTGGATTGTCATGCCTTTTCTTGAACTAAAAATAAATAAGTTCAATTTTTCATTAAGGTTTAATTTTACATGCTTACCAGTTTAGGTAATCCGTTTCTGTACATGTCGTAGTGGAGCCCATACTCCGTGCCATAATCCAACTCAAGGCTGCAATCTTCAATATCTTTTTTATCTAACTTGGTTGGGAGTAAACAGGGAAGCACGGTTGGTAGCTCGCACAGAGTATCAGTAGGTATCTCGTAGGTATTCAATGTTTTTGATAGTCTTTATTCTATAACAAGAACTTATCAGTTGAAAAAAATAATTTGTATTACTGGTAATAATACCAGGTATAATACCTAGTCGTTCCATAGGTATCAGAAAAGAATGTGATGTTTTACTTTTACAATCGGATTTATCCCATATGTTATGCTTACCCTTGATGCTTACCTATGTAAATTAGCAATGTACGACTATTAGTTCGAGAGCTAGCAACGTCGGAAAAACAAGTATTTTAAGACGTCTGGCTCTTTGATATATCTTTTACTATGCTCTCTAGAACAGCATGCGGCCCGTCTGGCTGCCGATAAACTTGCGTTACGTTCCCTACGGCGCATTGAAAGAAGATCCTATATTTTATTAGTCATTTAAATTGTAGTATTGAATATAAACCGACCGAGTCTCGATAACTCAATGCGTAGAGTTTCAGACCACGAACCGAGGAGTCAGAGTTCGAATCCGGGTCAGGACAAAACCTTTTTTATTTTATTTTCGTTTATATTCTGATAGTAAAGTATTAAATATTTGTTTTTTTTTGAATTACCTGAATTATTTAATACTTTACAATCAGAATATATACGAAAATAAAATAAAAAAGTCTTTGTCCTGACTCAGATTCGAACTCTGAATCGTCGGTTCGTAGTCGGAAATTCTACGCACTGCGCTATGGAGACATGTTCGATTTATATTCAATACTAGAATTTATAGGACTAAATTAAAAAAAAATATAGGATCTTCTTCCGATGCGCAGTAGTGAACGCAATGGATATCGGCAGCCAGACGGGCCGCCTACTGTTCCATAGAGCATAGTAAAAGATATATCAAAGAGCCAGACGTCTTAAAATACTGTCTCGAAAACGTTACTAGCTCTTAGACTATATTATGTGCACTCACTATTACTATTAGGTATTTTAAAATAATTACCGAGATAAAACTTACCTTTAAAGGAAACATTTTGTCTGGATCTCAACCACAAAACAAAAATTAAAAAAAATGCCGAATAATCGTGGAATCTCAAATAATCAATAATGACAATCATATGACAATAATCTTCTCTTCTCACAAGCTAAAAGAACAGGTACATTCAGTCAAAAACAATTTATTACTCCGATTATCAACAGATTTTAGTTATCTCCTTCTAGAGCTAAGAAATAGAAAAAGCTACTGACAATCTAATTAATCCTATCCAATGTTTAACTTGCAAAGTTGAAAACTTCCCTTTTTGACCGCCTAAACGCTATGCGCTTCTGGGATGCGCGGTAAAACAAACTTGTCTACGAAATGCCCTTGACAAAATAAACTTGTCTACGAAATGCCCTATTCCACAAGCCGTCTCACTTTAGTTATTAGTGTTCTCTCTGGTGCAATATGAGCGTATATTTGACGTGAAACTTCTTCTTACTTCCGTCTGTCTGTCTGCCCGTCATGGGATGGGATTTGTCAGTTTCTTTGTCTAAAAGGTCTATGCTTACCACTTTTCTTTTCGCTAGCTCGTCTGTCAAGGCCGTGCCACGAAGTTTCACTTCAAAAACAATAGTATGGTAATTTTTTCAATAGAAAATAAACGCAGAAAAGCGCAACGAACTCGTACAAATACAGATTCGTCATAGAATATCTTGAAAATACTATTTGACTTTTTCCATTTTAACTCATGAATTTTCAAAAATATTTTTTTCCATAGCAACTGTTAAAATTGCCTTATATCTATCAAAAATAGTAGATAAAATAGTACTTTAACCGCACGGGTAGATTAAATGATACTTTAACAGCGAGGATAGGTTAAAACTTTATTTCTTTCGCACGTTGTTCAATTGCTTCCATTTTTTAAAATTTATATTTAAAATAGTATTCCTTTTTATAAGTTATTAGGGATTTATATGGAAGTAGTTTGGATATGGCCATAGATAAATGAAACAAGTTTAGATTGGAAAGTGCCCATAAGGATAATGTAAACACTATTTGGCGCTATTCTTGCAACGGTTGCGACCCGAAACTTTTTAAAATTTCGGAGAAGTTCGGCTTTTTCCGGAATTATATCGCCAAATATTGTTTATTCAAATTTATTATTATTTTCGTTTAATTTTATAAATAAAAGACAGTGTGTTGCATACAAGAAACTTTATTTTATATAAGGACGCATGTATGAAATACATATGAAACATTGGAAACCGACGTTATGCCACGATCCACGATGGTTTTTGCAGTTCACAGTTCACAGCACAGCTTTTTAAATTTTTAATGCCACTTTTTCACAATTATCACCGGTTGGAGTAAATAAAACTTGAATTAAATTCACAAGATAGCAATTATTACTTTGAAAATGGACGCTATAAACACTTTTCGGAATTTCTTTAATGAGAGCGGTTTAGATTTTGAAAAATTATTATGATTTTTGAAGATACTGACTTTGACAAGAGAAAATTATTTCTGTTTTTGTTTGCCGTTGTTCTTAGCGACCGCTATAGCAGCGCCAGATCGCGTATAACGGTCGCAACCCAAAATAATTTCGCGACCTAAAATCTTTACAGGCTTTCCAATCTAAACTTGTTGCATTTATCTATTGATATGGTGTTTGTCGCCTCAACCTGAATATCTGTTGGTAATTTACTTATTTCGTTTTGAGCCATTTCTGGCTCCAATCATAGACAAACAAATAAAAAGAGACTGGCAAATTAAATGGCAAAGAGAGGGACAACGTTCCCGTAGCGCAAGTCAGAACGCAAAATTTCGTTCTATTTATGTTGATCTGCGCATTGCGTCTATTGGGCCCACTATCTCATTTTAATATAACAAGAGAGAAAGAAGCAGCCATATAAAACGTAATTTCTAAATAGAAATTAGAACAATCGCCTTTCGTTTTCGTCATCATGACAACCAAGATGACAACCATAGATAAATGCAACAAGTTTAGATTGGAAAGCCTGTAAAGATTTTAGGTCGCGAAATTATTTTGGGTCGCGACCGTTATACGCGATCTGGCGCTGCTATAGCGGTCGCTAAGAACAACGGCAAACAAAAACAGAAATAATTTTCTCTTGTCAAAGTCAGAATCTTCAAAAATCATAATAATTTTTCAAAATCTAAACCGCTCTCATTAAAGAAATTCCGAAAAGTGTTTATAGCGTCCATTTTCAAAGTAATTATTGCTATCTTGTGAGTTTAATTCAAGTTTTATTTACTCCAACCGGTGATAATTGTGAAAAAGTGGCATTAAAAACTTAAAAAGCTGTGCTGAGAACTGTAAATTGCAAAAACCATCGTGGATCGTGGCATAACGTCGGTTTCCAATGTTTCATAGGTATTTCATACATGCGTCCTTACATAAAATAAAGTTTCTTGTATGCAACACACTGTATTTTATTTATAAAATTAAACGAAAATAATAATAAATTTGAATAAACTATATTTGGCGATATAATTCCGGAAAAAGCCGAACCGCTCCGAAATTTTCAAAAGTTTTGGGTCGCGACCGTTGCAAGAATAGCGCCAAATAGTGTTTACATTGTCCTTATGGGCACTTTCCAATCTAAACTTGTTTCATTTATCTATGATGACAACATCATGACAATTCGTCATGTTTGTATGATGTTTGTTAATTTTTCTTTTGGTGATTTACCTTTTTTTCTAAACTCTCCATTTTATTGACTTATGAATATGGATAGGGAACAAATTCCTTTGTTCCATATAGGTATTTATATTTTGTTACTTATAATTTTTGGTTATACTATTTGTTATTTTATTTGCTGCAGGAGCCAGTATCATCTATTTTTTATATGTATTGGTGCCCCCTTTCTCTGATAGATATGTTAAAGACACCCGGTGAAATAAAAGTAAGTAGTTATATTTATCATCTTATTAAGAAAAAAGTAGAAGTAGTAGTGTCAAAAATATTTGGAACCTCTCTTAACATAACAAATTAATACAATTATTTTTTTTCATTTTTTGGGTAGGTAGTTTATAACTGGTTTATAGTAATCAGAAATAATAATTAATATACCTCTTTTACTTTTGTTTTAGGATTAAAACTGGACTTGAAAATGGTTCAGGATCATGATTCTCGTAAAGTCTTCTTTGCTTGGATATTCACTTTGTTATTGCAATTAGGCAGTTTTTTCGAAAATGAGATTTTTAATGCCCTTTCCAAAAATTGGCCGATCGTTTCGTGCAACAGTCAGTTCTTCTGCATTTAAAATTGGTAGGTGGGTGGAATAAACACTGTTATTTTTTGTTATTATATTATAAAGTTTATTTATTTTTATGTATAAATAAATATGTTTATAAAACAGTACAATTTTTGCTTTTTTTATGATTTCCCTTATAATAGTAGTATTCTTTCGTTCTGAAAGAAACTGCAAATTTTCACTTAAACTGATTTATTCCTTACACTACGTTCCCTTTACGTGGTATAGGGAATAAATCAGTTTAAGTGAAAATTTTCAGTTTCAGAATGAAAGAATACTAGTAATACTAATAAAGGCTAATTTAAATTTTCCGCCAGCCAGAATGTGCGATAATGTCTTACGATACGTTTTATACCTACCTCTTTCTGTTTCATATAAAGCACGCATAATAAAGAAAGATAGCAATAAAGACGTACGTCCTGCCATGGTCCTGCTAATTGGTTTCAAAATTGTTATTCTGAGTTGCGCTACGGGAACGCGGTCCCACTCTTTACCATGATATTTGTCAGTCTCTTTTTATTTGTTTGTCTATGTTCAAAACTGACAACTAAAGAGACAGCTTTATTTATTTGTCAAATTACATAGAAACCCCAGCACAATATTTTTTCTACTCGTAATAAATTCCTATTCAGAAATAATAATTTCTGAATATTTTTTAAAACGTAACTCGCTATGGAAAAAAATATTGTTTTATAATACACGACGATAAAATTGCATTATCGTCTCCCGAAATTAATTCATTCGCGATTTCATCGCTCGTGAATTAATCTTTTCGGCCGACGATAAAGTACCATTTTATCGTCTTGTATAAAAAAATAACTATTAGTATCTACTTATACACTTTTTTTAGAGTTGAAAACGGTTCCCTCCAATATTCTGATGAATATATAACAAGGATTTTGGAGTGGTCCCTACATAGAATAGATAAATTATCGGATTTATTTTCGAAAAACTTGGAATTCATATGGGCCCTACCGACCTCATATTCTCTCGACGAAAATGTTTATATTAGTCTAAAATTACTTAAAGATGAACTGAGTAGTATAAAGGACTTTAACAGGGAAGAGTTAAATACCACTCTGAAGCATATTAGTAAAAAGCATAATATAAAATATGGCAAATTTATGAAGGATTTACGATTGGTATTGAGTGGTTTGAACGTAAGTATTATAAACCAATAGATTCTACGTCCCACTAGTCAACTCGCATGCCCAACAATGTTGCCGTTTATTTTATGAACGGTTTTAAGATTATAAAAATAGATTTTCCTAAAATATAATTTTACGGTGAGAACCATGTCTCCTGAAGATTTTGTTTTTTGGATCATGTCAATACATGCCTTTTAATTTTAAAGGCGAAATGAACTTGATACCAACAACTTGCATTTTTTTCAATTATTATTTCTTTTTGAAGTTATTTTTTAACAATAATCACCAAAGCCGCCTTGTCATAACAAGGCGGCTTTGGTGATTATTGTGCTGTATATACTACTATGAACTGCCGATCACGTTCGACGATTGGGAAATGCTTGACAGGTTAGAGGTCGCGAAGCGGTACCACCTTCATTAAATGAACTTCGCTTGGCCATTAAAGAAGGATAGTAAAACATAATAGCCTAAGAGCTGAATGAGAAAAAATGTATAGTTTATTAACTGGTGAACCCAGAATCCTAAGTCGGGCAGAGGGGTTGCGGGTGTTTCGCTACTGCGCAATCCATGAAATGTCACAAAAAAATAAATCCAATAAACATCCTTTAGGCAACTGGAAATTTATTTACTCTCAAATTTTAGCATCTATTTAACTCAGAAATAAGTATGCCAGACTTTTTTTTCGGGTTTAAAGTATAACCCGACCATTGCAAATATGTTTAATAATTATACCTAGAAAATATACTTTAGGCATTCTAAATTTTTTACAGCGTGTTTATTAGATAATATTAAAAAAAATTTAATACTGGGTTTTAATACTTGCCTGACACGAATAAAGATTTTAAATGAGCGCGACAAAAAAGTCTTATGAGTATCTATAAGCGCGAGAAAGATAACAGTTGAGGGTTGGAACCTTTGGTGTTACACAGCAAAATAAAAACACTAAATCACCACAATACACCAAAACACTTTTACTTTTACACTGGACGCGCGTTTTGCTAACCATGTTAGCATCATCAGCAGATGATTATAAACTAAAGTACAATCTACAAGTTGAGCGTTTATGTACTCGCCCAGTAGGTACCGAGGGGGCGTGGCAAAATCTAGCCAACCGAGTCAGAGCCAACTGAGCGTAACAGTTAATTTCCGTCACTAGAGTAGTAGGAACAAAGAACTTGAAGGAATTGGACCGATGACTCTGTTCATACTATCTTTACATTTATTAATTCTGATGCTTTCCTATGCATCTAATTGCCTGTAATTTGAGACTTGTTTAATTAATTTTAAATTATTAAGATCTATACAATGGTCTTTATCAACAAAATGTTCGGCAACGCAAGATTTATCCGGTCTACCATATCTTATCTGAGCTAAATGTTCTTAGAATCTAGTTAATATTGATCTTCTAGTTTGCCCAACATATTTCTGATTACAATCTTTACAAGAAATTTCATAAATACCCGACCTTTCCAGTGGAGGTGTTTTATCTTTTGGATTACCTAATAATTGTGTAATTTATTATTAGCACTATACACAAGTTTATAATTGACATTCTTAAAAATTCCTTTTAGACCACGGGATAACTCTCTATGAAACGGTATCGAAAAATATTTAGACGTATCTTTCTCCACTTGAAAAGTCGAATTTTCAGAAATCATTAACCTATACCTACGTTTTCTAATTAATTTATCAACTAGTGAAGGCGAATATCCATTACACTCAGCTACATTCCTAATGTAATCTCTTTTTATTTCATATCTTTCGTTGGAAAGTGGGAAACTAAGTAATCTATGAACTAAGAAATTTAAACTAGCCATTTTATGTTCAACACTATGATGTGATTCATTAGGAATATATCTGCGTGTGGTCGTATTTTTCCTATAGATATCAAATTCCAGGCAATTATTAGTATTTCTAATAATTAATACATCTAGAAATGGTAATCTGTCGTTGTTCTCAATTTCATGCGTAAATTTAATGGAAGGAAAACGATTATTTAACTTAGAAATAAATTTTAAAACGATTATTTAACTTAGAAATAAATTTTAGTTCATAGATTACTTAGTTTCCCACTTTCCAACGAAAGATATGAAATAGAAAGAGATTACATTAGGAATGTAGCTGAATGTAATGGATATTCTCCTTCACTAGTTGATAAATTAATTAGAAAACGTAGGTATAGGTTAATGATTTCTGAAAATTCGACTTTTCAAGTGGAGAAAGATACGTCTAAATATTTTTCGATACCGTTTGATAGAGAGTTATCCCGTGGTCTAAAAGGAATTTTTAAGAATGTCAATTATAAACTTGTGTATAGTGCTAATACTAAATTACAACAATTATTAGGTAATCCAAAAGATAAAACACCTCCACTGGAAGGTCGGGTATTTACGAAATTTCTTGTAAAGATTGTAATCAGAAATATGTTGGGCAAACTAGAAGATCAATATTAACTAGATTTAAAGAACATTTAGCTCAGATAAGATATGGTAGACCGGATAAATCTTGCGTTGCCGAACATATTGTTGATAATGAACATTGTATAGATCTTAATAATTTAAAATTAATTAAACAAGTCTCAAATTACAGGCAATTAGATGCATATGAAAGCATCAGAATTAATAAATGTAAAGATAGTATGAACAGAGTCAACGGTCCAATTCCTTCAAGTTCTTTGTTCCTACTACTCTAGTGGCGGAAATCTAACTGTTACGCTCAGTTGGCTCTGACTCGGTTGGCTAGATTTTGCCACGCCCACTCGGTGCCCACTGAGCGAGTATATAACGCTCAACTTGTAGATTGTACTTTAGTTTATAATCATCTGCTGATGATGCTAACATGGTTAGCGAAACGCGCGTCCAGTGTAAAAGTAAAAGTGTTTTGGTGTATTGTGGTGATTTAGTGTTTTTATTTTGCGAGAAAGATAGTTTATTGAGACTCGTCGGCAGGCGACGCTGCTGACGTAACAGTATTTTCGAGTACTTAAAATTTTTATAAACTCAATTTTTTTTCGGTTTCATTTCAATTATTTGCAGGCTTTTAATTCCGAGATTGTTGCAATTAAGTTACCATGTATAAATATATATGTATTTATAAATTAAATATTGATATGCATAGTATAAATAGTTTAGAATGATAGTGATAAAGTGATTATTTCTGAAGGCAGACTAGAAAAATGCAAACAATTTTTAAAAGTGTTCCACCAACATGGCCCAAAATTCAAAGAAGTGCTTTTACCAGAAAATGTATCCCCGACAAAAGGGTACCATATACATTGTTAAAGGAATTTTTCAGTTGTTATGACGAAACAGACATTGAAATCCTCAAATACACTTCCTAAACCATCAACATCTGCATTCGTCTTCAAAAATAATATAGAATATTACGCTTATTTTATAAGAGTTTATTTTATAAGTTTTTAGTAAAACTGGAAGTGTGGAAAACAACAATCTGTATTTTAGGCGACCCTTTTTTTTCCTATTTGACTTCTGTGTTTTGTCAGACTTTTATTATACATTACTACCACAATTGACACATTTTCTGTAATACTTTTTTTAACATATTAAAAAAGTTAACTGTAACAAAAAAAAAATAAAAGTTGTAGCTTTCTATTGATTTAAATTTGATTTTTTTGTGAATCATTAATTAAACAGTGTAAAAGTAAAAAATAAACTGTGTAAAATACTGTTACGTCAGCTGCGTCTGCTGCCGACTAGTTTCAATAAACTTTTTCGCGCTTATAGATACTCATAAGACTCTTTTGTCGCGCTCATTTAAAATCTTTATTCGTGTCAGGCAAGTACTAAAGACAGTTAAATTCGTCTGGCAATTAACAAATATTTTTTAATATTATCTAATAAACACGCTGTAAAAATTTTAGAATGCCTAAAGTATATTTTCGGGGTATAATAATTAAACATATTTGGGATGGTCGGGTTACACTTTAAACCCGAAAAAAAAGTCTGGCATACTTATTTCTGGATTAAATAGATGCTAAAATTTAAGAATAAACAAATGTAAAGTTGTCTAAAGGATATTTTTTGGATATATTTTTTTTGCGAATATAAGGGGTTGCGTAGTTGCAAAATACCCGCAAACCCCTAGCACGACTTAGGATTCTGGGTTCGCCAGTTAATAAACTTTAATTTTTTTGTCATTTTAACTTGCCTAAAATATGTTCTCTAAATATCTCGTCAGCTCTCCGGCTATAACGCAATATGCTATATGTAGCCTTAATGACAGTATGAACGGGACATATACAGGCAGTTTTATAGTCTGTCCAACGACAAGATCCTTGACAGTGATAGATGTGTCTGTCATTTTAATTTCAAAGTAGTTTATTTTATTTTACAAGGAAATAAGTTGGTAGTTGGTATAATTGGAACGCATAGCAGGAAATTAATATATTTAAAATTTGACTGACAAGTGATTACTTCAAAATATTGTGAAAAAAAAAATATAAAACTGAAAAAATGTAATCGAGTTATTTTATTTAAAGAAAAACGGTATGTGTTAATATAAAACAAACAAGAACAAAACACCACATACCAAAAAAATATAAAAAAAGAATTCTTTCTGACTTTCAAGCTTCAAGAAACTTCCCTTATGTACAAATACAAATTTGTTACTTTACTTATTATTATTTATTTATTTTTTTATTATTACAAATTTCTAATATTCCACAGGAATAAATAAAACAACATAAATAAAACAAACTATTTTATTAATAATAACACTTACCAAATTTAAAAAAATTACATCAAAAAGTTTTGATAATTGAAACAAGTGCAAATTGATCGTGATCAGTTCGTTTCGCTCTTAAAAATTAATCAAAGCATGTATTGACATGAATCAAAAAACAAAATGTTTAGGAGTCATGGTTCTAACCGTAAAATTATATTTTAGGAAAATTTACAAACGAAACTGTTGCACAGGGTGTTTTAAAGTTTGGGTAGAAAAATAACACCTCGATTAACCCTGTATAATATGCCAAATATTAAAGTTATAATTATAGAGAAAAAAGATTAAACGGCTCAGCCCTCAACAACTCGTAACCGTATACACCAGTGTACACCAGTGCAGACACGCACACCCACACACTCACACAACCACACCTACACTAGTGCACACTGATGTAACTGCCTTCAGGTAAGGATTCAGGAAGCGAAGAAACCGATCCCAAATCACAAAAATCCAGGAAGCAAACGATGCAACGAGGCACCGTGTGCAACCCAGGAGATGGAAAAAAAATTGATGTAAAAAGCGAGGGAAATGTATAAAAATAGAGAAAAAAGATTAAACGGCTCAGCCCTCAACAACTCGTAACCGTATACACCACCTGGTATACACTGGTGTATAAGGTTACGAGTATACTATTTTTATACATTTCCCTCACTATTTCTTTCTCTTTCATATTGGTACCACGGCTAAGGGTATTGCGGCGGGTTGCTATTGGCTACCTCAGCGGCTGTTCTGGACGAAGCCCACAATCCTGGGCGACTCTGGTTCTTGGCTGCAAATTGGGGCTTTAGGCTCCCGTTTGCTCCTTTTTTTTCCATCATTTATTTTCGTTTCTTCATCATTTTTTTTCCATCTCCTGGGTTGCACACGGTGCCTCGTTGCATCGTTTGCTTCCTGGATTTTTGTGATTTGGGATCGGTTTCTTCGCTTCCTGAATCCTTACCGTACTGATGAAGCCTGAAGGCAGTTACATCCGTGTGCACTAGTGTAGGTGTGGTTGTGTGAGTGTGTGGGTGTGCGTGTCTGCATTGATGTACATTGGTGTATACGGTTACGAGTTGTTGAGGGCTGAGCCGTTTAATCTTTTTTCTCTATTTTTATACATTTCCCTCACTATTTCTTTCTCTTTCGTTATAATTATATACAGCTTACTAAAAAAATCATGAAAGTAGGGCTAAAAATAACAAAAATAAATGGTGCGTTTAGACTTGAGCACGCACGCACTGATCCTCCGCGAGTGCTCAAGTGTAAACGGCTGTGCGCGCACGCTCACTCTGAATCTGTCTGTGCGCGAGCAGCCGCGAACGTGAGCCGTCTGGTGTCGCTTTTTGGTCCGCGCTAAAAGGGATTTTATGTGTGCGCGAACGCTCAATTTGGACCGGCAATTTGTTTTGTCTGCGTTCGTGCGTGCGTGTGTAATTTTTTTTCGTTTTCTTTATTACAATTATGGAGTGGATCAATGAATCTTCGTTATTATTAATTGAAAAATATGAAAAGTTGCCTATATTATGGGATGTTAAACATTCTTTATATTATTAAAAAATCAAAAAAATATAACGCATGGCAAAACCTTGTAAATAAAATTAATATTGATATTAATGAAATTGCTATTCTAAAATTTGTATCTTTTGTTCGTAATTTTTGGTGTTATTAAATTTTGTAAATATTCAAAGTCGGGCCTGGTCATTCTTGTAAAGTTTTTGAACTGATCATAGCCCTCCTCAGACACTAAGTTGTTGCAGTAAATTATATCGATTTCTAAAAATTTGGGTTTGCCACCAGCGACGATGTTTTCGATTTTTGTTCTTTTTAATAATTAAGCTGTGCATAACAATGACTGCAGCCTCGACTATTTCTTGGTCGTCCATTATTTTCGCCAACACAACTCTGCTGTGCGCGCACAAATGGATCACTTCATTCGTCGAAAAATAAGTTTTTAATTTGAACGGAGCCGAGAGCGCGAACGAACGCCGTGCGCGCACGCTCAGCTCGTGCGTGCTCAAGTCTAAACGCACCATAACACTTTAAATTTGACTAAAAAATTTTCCGTTGCGTTTTTTTTGCATCTGAGTGTATTTTTGTCTGAGATGGAAACTATTGAATAAACTATCTCACAGTGTTCTAACCATTTGATTTTTGACATAATTTTTATCTATCTTAGGAAGGACCTAGTGTAGCAGAAATAATATCCATATTAGGGAAAGATGATACGTTCAGAAGGATTGATCTATGTTTAAATAAAACTAATAAAATAAGGTAATAGTTTATTTGCTGATAACTAGTTTATTTAAATATTACAAAAATTATACAACTTTGTAAAGGTTATAAATAATTAAACTTATATAAATATAAATTATAAAATTTACTATGGCGTTTTAATATCTATTTTATATTTAGTCATATGCTTAATAAAATAAATTGCTTTGGCATTGTTAATGTAAGTATTTCATTTATGCCAATTTTATTTTTTGGCAATTCAAAAAATTTCTACTTAACTAACAAAGTTAGTGTTTAATACAATAATAAATCACAGTTTAAATAAAATACTAGTAATCGAGTTTAACAAAAACTTTTTTTCGTTAGAACAATATTTTTTGCTATATATGTCTAATATACAATGTGTCCAAATAGTATTATTTAGATAAGATTCATTTTTTAATGACATGGCAATGAATCGACATTTCTAGAAGTAACTTGAAATTGGTCTTACTTAGAAAAAAACTTAGCTAAACAAGAATACTTAGTTATTTTACATTCAACTATTACCATTTGCAAAGGGCCGTCTAGACTCTCAGATAATTCGCTTAAACTGATTTGCGCAAACAAAACTGTACCAATAAATCGTAAAGTATAAACAGAAATCGTTAGTTTGGGCAGTTCAAAAATTTGGCTTCAGTAAAATCTGTCTCTATCCAAAAAAATCCTTTATGGGTATTTCGCCACTGCACTGCAAGAGAAATCTACAAAATAAAATAGTTATTTTTTGTAAACACTTCTGCGTTAAACCTAAACGGACGCTGCTTGTTAGAAGTTGTGTTTACAGTAATAAAAATTTGCCTAACAAAGAAAAAAATGCTTAACGTTTCGGAAAGTTTTCTCTTTCCGTCGTCGGAAGCAAAAAAAATATAAAGAATCAAGAAAAAAACTATTTAAAATATTTAAATTGAACTATTCGAGAACACTTTACTTTTTAAAACAGATACGTCTACAAGAAATCGTTGACGTTCTGTTAAAATGACATTATATTAAGTTAAACTTCAAAATTAACAATTACTACCTGATAACAATTACTTAATAAGGTAAAACCAAAAAGCCCAAACTTTCTATATGATTATTTTTAAATTTTACGTATGTTATGTTTATTTATGTTATGTTCTTTAAAATCAAAGAAGCGATTGCCATACATTACTAATATCTACAGATGCATGAGCAATACATTTATTTTTATTAGATTGAATTAAAAAAGCTTCTTTAATTTTTCTTTTAGAGGCTATCGCTTCTTTCATTATAATTTTGGCGTTATTAAAATTTATTCTGTGCCCTGTGTCCCATGAATGCTGACAAATCTTAGATTTGTGAAAATCTCCCTTTCTTAAATAATCTTTATGTTCTTTAATTCTAACATTTAAGGGTCTAGATGTTTCACCAATGTAAAATTTATCGCATTCACAGGGTTTTGGTATATTACATTTTTTGTTTGTTGTTCTGTATTTTTATTGGTTTAGTATGTGATAAAATCGATCTAAGTGTATTTTGTGTTTTGAAAGATGTTCGTATGTTATATTGTTTTCCTATCCTTCTTAATTTTTCCGAAACGCCTCGTATGTATGGAATTGTAAGTTGTATATATTGTGTATTGTTATCATTGTGTCTATGATTTGGGGTTTGTATTTCGTTTAATGTTTTGTCAATAAAATATGGTGGATAGTCGTTTTTATTAATGCATTTTTTTTTGTGGTTTATATCTCTGTTTAGTGAAATGTCGTCTGTACATATTATTTTTGCCCTATCATATAAACTTTTTATAACACCTTTTTTTACACTTATACTGTGATTAGATGTGAAATTTAAGTATCTATCTGTGTTTGTGGAGTTTCTGTAAACATCTAAAATTAGTTTATTTTGAAACTTTGACACTAAAACAAAAAATGGCAAACGATTACCTCTCTCTACTTCTAAAGTAAATTTTATGGTAGGTTCGCGAGAATTTATATAGGTAATCCAAAAAAATGTCTATTTCAGAAACGTTATGTTGCCATATTGCAAAAATATCATCAACATAACGCAGCCATATTACAGGCTTTTTTGAAAAACTATTTATTGTATTATTTTCAAAATCTTCCATAAAAATATTACTTAACAAAGGAGAGAGAGGTGATCCCATTGCCATACCGAAATCTTGTTGAAAAAATTCATTATTTAATTGGAAATAAGTAGTTTTAACACAAAGTGTCAACAATTCCAAAATACTATCTATGTTTAATTTCGTTCTATCTATTAAATGTGTATCTTGTTCTAATCTATCCCTAACTATTTTAAGTGATTTATCTACCGGCACATTAGTGAAAAGACTAACAACGTCAAAACTAACCTTTAAACTGTTAGGTGTTATATTAATTTTTGAAATTTTTTCTATAAAGTGTGGTGTGTTTTTAATATATGAATCGGTGTTATTTGCAATGGGATTTAATATGTCCAGTAAAAATTTTGCTAACGGATAGCATGGAGAATTTATACTACTGACTATAGGTCTAAAAGGTATACCCTGTTTGTGTATTTTCGGTAAACCGTATAAATGAGGTGGTTTACTGTAATGGGGTGTTAATAATGTTCGTTGTAAGTCTATTAATATATGTTTGTAATTGTATAAATAATATAAATCTGTTTTAAAAAGTAAAGTGTTCTCGAATAGTTCAATTTAAACATTTAAATAGTTTTTCAGTGCAGTGGCGAAATACCCATAAAGGATTTTTTTGGATAGATGAATCCGCCACATAGGTATAGACATTTTTTAAAATCTGTCTCATCTTGATTTTTAACTTTATAAGTCTTAAAGTCTTTAACGTCACAATTTATTTATCGAATGTGCATTTAACATAGATAAAGGAAATAAATTTAATTTGGAATGCCCGTCAAAATTTTGGGTCGCGAAATTGTTTTGGGTCGCGACCATTGTACCTGGCGCTGCTATAGCGGTTGCTAAGAACAACCGCAAACAAAAACAGAAATAATTTTCTCTTGTCCATACCTCTTGTCAAAGTCAGAATCTTCAAAAGTTATAAAATCTTTCAAAATCTAAATCGCTCTCATTGAAAAAATTCCGAAAAGTGTTAAAAGCGTCCATTTTCAAAGTAATTATTTCTATCTTGTGAGCTTTATTTAAGTTTTATTTACTCAAACCTGTGATAATTGTGCAAAAGTGGCATTAAAACTTAAAAAGCTGTGCTGTGAACCGTGAACTGCAAAAACCATCGTGGATCGTGGCGTAACGTCGGTTTCCATTGTTTCATAGATATTTCATACATATCCTTATATAAAATAAAGTTTCTTGTATGCAACACACTGTATTTTATTTATAAAATTAAAAGAAAATATTAATAAACTTGAATAAATAATTTTTGGCGATATAATTCCGGAAAAAGCCGAACCGCTCCGAAATTTTCAAAAGCTTTGGGTCGCGACCGTTGCAAGAATAGCGCCAAATAGTGTGTATCTAAACGGTCCTTAAATCTATTAGATTAAAATAAAAGTTGTTGACAATTTTAGAGTTTAGTATCCCTCTGTAAGATGCTGTACAACTTCTTACTCTAAACTAAGTAAATGTAAGACTAAAAAGTAAAAATGATTTTATTAGTTAACTCTGTTTAACTTTTGGGCACATTGTATTTTATTCCAGTTCTTATTATAATTATAAATATATGTTTTTCTATTTGCGCCTGACCGTGAAGTTACTTGCAAAATTATTGATCAACGACTTTTATTTATTTGTAATTGAAATAGATATATTATTTTGATATTTTGTGTTATACAGGGTGTCAAAAAATAGCATATTTAACTTCGGTGGGTGATTCTATAGATAAAAATAAAACAAAAAGTTCCTATGAGCGTATGTTCTCAAATGCTTACCGAGGAAGTTACAGACCTCCAAATTAGTGATGGGATAACTCGAGCGAAAGTTCGCTCTAGATTATTCAAATAACCGACATCGCTCGATTATGAACGAGCGACGAACGCAAGCGATCTTATCAGGCGAATTTGCTACATACGAACTAAACGACGACCACCTTTTTTATTTAAAAAAGTCCTAGCTTTTAATGTCATTTGTTGAAATTACTGTATATATGAGGATAAAAAAAGTACCAATCTCTACCCTAATTGAAAGTACCCTTTCAGGGCTATTAGGGAATTTTACGCTATTCGCTTTGGCATTAAAATGTGTAAAGAGTACAAAAGTTCATGAAAAACGAGTTACCAATGTCCATAAAAATAACCAAAATATACAGTGTGCTACAAATTCGAGGTACGAGCATTGGTATCTCGGAAACCGTAATAGATACGAAGATGGTTAAATTGGGGCCAAGTTGCGCCTTCGGCTGTTCACCAAGATGCTATCAAAAAAGTTTTAAAAATTTCAAGGATTGCTGAGTTTTTTGGAAAAAACTGACTTTTTTGAAAATCAATTTTATTTTTTCCTGTCGTTACTTTCTAGAAAATCAAAAAACTAATTGCACATTCTCATAGCCACTTTATTAGGGCTATCTGACAGTATTTTTAGATTTTCAAATTAGCTGATAATTTGTGAGATACAGAGGCCAACTTAATTTTTTTAAATACGGACCTGCATTTTTTATTTCAGATTTTGAAAGAACTCAGTCTCCTGAGTACAATGATATGCCACACTTTATACTTTTTTTTTGTTTTGGGTACCTTAACAGCAACAAAAATATTTAATTATTATTTAAAAAAAATTCAAGTCCGACTCTGTTTTTTAAATTATTTAATCTGATTATATTCATCGCAACAATATTGATCAGTGCTAATTAATATTGAATAAGGAAAATTGAGTCAATTGAAGGATTCAAATAAATAATATCCAGATCAGCAATTTAAAGATATTATTTTTAACTTTTCTTATTGTGAATTTGAAATTCTCAGTGTACGATCTAATAATTTGCATAACATTAATCGTAGTTATTATGGATAAACTAACTTCTACAAACTAGTTTCTAATGCTTTACATAGTCTACATGTTCGAAAGGGTTACCACCCTCCCTATTGCACAAATTTATTTTTCGTTCAATT